AGATGAAAAAACAAAACAAAACAAAAAATCGGCAAGCTCCTCGAAACGGGGATCTCCATGATTGGGACCGCTTTCTTGGTACAATACTCTATCCACTGAGCTGCGGGGAAATTTGCCATAAAAGGAGAGCAAATTTTAAGATCATATGTAACAAGTGTATCTATTGCAAGGAACAAAAGCTTAAATATTCCGTGGAAAACTGAGTGTTGAAAACCTTTGTGAAAATCTTTGTTATTTGAACTAATAATTAATATTCAAATTTAGCAGCGTCCCGATGCATACCCTGGATTTGAGAGTTTAGAAAAAGGGTAAACTTGTCAATAGGTGGAAGGGAACCTTTTCAAATGTAATGAAATGAAAAAACGAGTATACAGCGACACTCCAGGCTATTTATAAGCTTGGTCACAATATAAAATGGAAAGGGGGAACAAAACCTCTCAAGCCACCAACTTAGCGAGTTCTCCTTGGTAAGGCAAACGTAGTAACTAGAATACAGGCAAGAATCATATTTTTGATCTGCTTATTGATTTTGCCAAAAAAAAAGGAAATTAAAAGAAAGCAAGGAAGATTTCGGTGAGGGGAAAGTTTGGAAAATATGTGGATGCGAGGGGTATAGTGTAGGAGAGGGCCTTTGCAATAACGATGGGGGGATGCGGAAGAGAAATGCAATAATGCATTAATCATCAATTAACAGTGGTTAGTAATAAAAGGCGGGAAACGGAAATCAAAACTGCTGGAGGCATTAGCGCCTAACACCCACCCATCCCCCCCACCATATCCTTCTCGTTCCTGAAACACCCCACGAGAGTGTGTGTAGTTCTTTACGGTACTTGTTTGCGTGACGATTTCCGCTCGCATTTGCAAATGAGTGTAGGTAGTCAGGTGTAGACTTTCCAACCAATCATTGATAGAAAAAAGTATGATATCTGAAATAATTACATCTAATTAACACCGTATTTGAAAGAATAGAATCCAGTCGATAATACCACGGAAAATTTCATCTTAGCTGCTCTTCAGTGTTGGAGTCTTTTAAGGACATTTCTCGAGGAAAAAGAAGGTTGAGAACCTGTCACGTTATCTTTTTAAATCCTGCATAATCAGGTAACGTTTAGGTAGATACCAAGATATAAATACGATGGGTTTTCATTTATGTGCAAAGAGGCTGTGTTTGAGCTCTGGTATCATATCCTTTGCATGATGTTGTACTATGTAGCGCAGACTTAATTTAGAAAAAGTTCAGTTATCATGAATGAGTCCGACAAAACATGGAAATTGCTAAGTCGCTGGCAAATTTGTGTATGGTTGGATTGTGTCTTCAAAATACTCAATTACTAAATTTCGCCTGCTGTGCTTTCTTGATCGAGCCAGCCTCGACCGAGACATATGCATTTGCTCCAAAAGCTTCATGGAAACTAACTTTCTTGCGGGAAAACGTTTGATGCGGAGACCGTTAGGTAAACCATAGAAACCAAACTTGTTGTTATGGACGCCCTCATATTTACACCATGTTGTGTGCATCAGCTGAAACATTTAACAACGGTTATCTAAGTGATCCTGTCTAGATCGTTCTTTTTTCATGGATGAGATATAAAAATGTCAGGAAAAGGTCGAAAGGAGACAAGATTTTCTTTAAAACGAAAAAGGAGGTACGTCCATTAAGACGAAGAATTAAAGGTAATCTTTGTAATCTTTTATGGTGTTCAAAGCGGATCTCTTTTCAATCGAAAATCAATATCATGTATTTTTGAGTGAATCGATACCAGTAAATGTTCAGCATGGTTTCCTTAGACGACTTAGACATCGACTTTATTGCGAAAAATGGCGTTTTTATCGAAGTTTACGAGGAAGAAAGAGCTTAAAATATATTAACAGCTTGTCGACTTTCATTTTCTAATTATGCAAATTAGTCTTAGCAACATGCTTATCCAGGGGTGTAAGACTGAAACAAAAGCAGATATAACAAAACAACAATTATCTTTCAGGATTAGCTTTAGGCTGCGTTATGCAGTATAATTTTTGAGGGAGGGAGAGAAAGATTGTTTAAGGACGCACAGTTTTTTACCTTCATGGACCAGTTCTTGAATTGCGGAAATGAGTATAACTGATAAGCTTTCCTTTCTTGGTTGAACGATATTAACGGTTTCAAAGATAACTTGGTAAAACTACTCATTTCCTGTGGGACTGATATCAGATATTCAATACACACAATCCAATAACACCCTTCCCCTATATTTTCAGAAAACACTCAGTAGCCATGGGAAAGCACCACATAATGCTGTCTTACCAGTGGAACAAACAGGATCTGGTGGAAAAAGTGTATCACGGCCTACGTGAACACGGGATAGATGCTTGGATGGATACTCACGGTGGAGTCACGGGGAACATTAATGACAGGTGCGTATGCGCTACGCACGAAACTCGCATTTACTTATTGCCTCATGTTTGTCTTTTCTTTTTTACCATATAATATATTAATGAAGTGTTATTAAAGGGCAACTTTTTTATCAACAATCTAAAGCATGTTATTCGAATGCAGTTGTGCTTTCAGTGAGCGACTGACTTCGAAACAACTGTTCACTGGTCATCCATCCGTTGACATAATCAGTTCATTAAATTGATTTTACTGTTAACCGTATGCCTTACCTGTGATCAGATGCTATGTTCCCATAGTCCATAATCCTTGCCGGAAACAAAATGCTTATTTAATTTCACTATTTCTAGCATGGCCAAGGGAGTGGATGGAGCGGCCGTCGTCTGCTGTTTCATGTCAGCGGATTATTTCGTAAGTTTAGGATTTTAAGTACAACTAACTCGGACAAAGCTGATAATTTTCTTATCTAGATTTTGATAACTGATCCTTCGCGAAACGATTGACTCAACAGCCGGACCAGACTGTCAAATTTCTGGGGGGGGAGGAGGGGGAGGGGGAGGAGAAATTTAAAAAAGCCTATCATGTTTGAATACAGTTCTCTTTTGTCCATTTTAGGGCTCAAAGAACTGCAAAAAGGAATTGAACTACGCAGACGCTCAATCAAGAGCCATCGTCCCTGTGATGTGCGAGAAAGGGTTTAAAGCGACAGGCTGGCTAGGTGTTATCACTGCTGGGCTTCTGTGGGTCGACTTTAGGTAAATAAGCCACTTCTTATTCGATATGAGCTCGCTTATTGACATTGTATCAAAAAGGTTTCGTGTTTCACTCTGCTTGTCATATCATGTTGTTGAGGGCCTCATCATGAATGAATGCAGTACATTTTCTTTCATTCCTGTGCGAGGTGTCCACGCGGTAATGTACAGCCCTGTCTTCTCGAATCAAATCTTTTGTACCTGTGCGAGATAACTGCTTCCTTTACGGTCGATTTCTCTCAGCCTGTTCTTTTAAGGCTTCTTAGCCTTCATTTGAGTGATTGCTTTTTTGTCTTAATAATAGGGAGGGAACTGTATTCAAGAATTCACTCGAGTCCCTAGTTAAGGAGATAATTAACTCCCTGGAGTCTGTGCCCGTAGATGATATCAAGCTGAATCCCTCGGAGAAGCCTAAAGCACCTGTCGCGAATGCTCCAAAAATCGAGATAAAAAAGAAACCTGGACGAGCCTTCCAACATAAACTCACTGGAAAATTCTTGGCGGAGTCAGGTACAAAATCTCATTTTATGAGAATTGACTCGTAGTGACAAGTTAACTCTAGGAGTTCTCCAAATAACGTTCTCTGATGACCATAAGAATATTCAGTTTGATGTTCTGAGTTAGGATGTTCTCTTTCAATCCAGGCCAGGTGAAGTTTCACCCAGCAAGTGGCAACCGCAGCACTTTGGTTATGAGAGACCGAGCTGAGGATACAAGCTACTGGGTCGAGGAAAAGCAGCCCAAGTCAGAGATTCATTTCTTCAAAAATTACGCTACCAATGGATATCTAGGTTAGTGCCATAGAAACAGATATGTAAGATTGGTGTGGAAAACGAAAGACGTTCTTCGAATTTAGGCTGCATGAGGCAGTAGAAAAGGTGGTTTTATTAGCTTCAATTCAGTATGTGAATTTGTTTGTAACGTGAAGTAGTTATTGAAATATCAGGGAATTTTCAGTCCTTAGAAAAACTTATCATTCGCTAAATCCCTGTTGTTACTTTCTTGACAGGATATGACCCCAACGGCGATTACATCTACACCAAGGGCCAGCATTATGGAGCAGAGGAATGGGTTCTAAAGGCTGATGACAAATCCACAGACGGCCTCCGGGCGGTCGTGCTGTTTGCAAATTATGGCAAGAAGTACTTGGCAATCAGGAATGGGAAGCTCACTGGAGTAGCACAGTATTCTCAAGACTGTGTTTGGATTTTAGATTAAGATAAGTTGACGCATCAGTCGACTCGGTCAGCGCTGTTACAAATAATCAATGTGTACGTAGTGACAGTCGAAAGTTGCTAATTGAGAGCCCAGATGCAAATTAAAGGAGTTGTTTACAACAAATGTTAAATAACGTGATTATTTCGTCCCTTTTTGAATAATGCAATCAACCTTTCATGTAAGTACTCCATAAGGACTCAAGATAGTGTGGTCGTAGTTTAAAACCTACTACATTCAGGAGCCCATCACTTGATGGGTTCCTGCTACATTCTACTTTCATCTTCTTCTCGAGACGCAACGTATAACAAGCTCAATGTATTGTGGTAAGAATATGATAACGATTAGTACTGTCAACACCAAGTCTGCCGAGCCTCAGAGGCCGCAGTGTAGATATGAGGTTATTCAGATCGCACTAATGGCATAGCAGGGGGGGCCCTGCTGTGTTCGTTTATCGCCCCCAGGTAATCTGCTACTTAAAAGTCAGCAACACACAAATCCTCAAGTTGGCGAAGACGTGCAATAAGAAGAGGCCAGTTACTTTATTTGCCGGTCTTTCTCTTCTCCTGAATGACCTCCCTCCTCCCCCCCGCCCCCCTTTTTTAAAAAATCCTAGCTATACCCCCTGTCACACAAATATTTTCAGTTCCAATCAAGCACACAAGACAATGCCACCATGACACAAATGTTTGTAAAAAGTGGGAAACCTCTGTGAAAGGGAAGCAGGCTGGACCAATCTCATGTTTGTATGTAAACAAAATCTGAAGTGACAAGCCGCTTACTTATAAGTTTTCTTTGAATAGAAAGCAATTTCTTCTGGTTTTAGGTCTCGCATGTTAGCGATATGAGTAGAAGAGCGGACCACGTACCGCTGAACGTAGTCTGGAGCATCGACATGAAGCTTCCACCTGCGGCGGGGGCTTTCATAGACACACCGTTCCGGCGCATGCGTGAGTCCATCGGTAAGTTTGAGCGCGTTTTCTCCCTGGCCATGATCTCTCTCTATGAGCTGTTGCTGAAATGTTTTTGGAGAGATTAGATTCTCCTCCCCAAGTTTCTGCACAGAAGTATAACATCCCCTTTGCGTTTGCCCTGGATTGTCTTGATAAAATGGTGAGCTTTGTGCACTAAATGTTTTAGATTCTGATGGTCTGATTAAAGGCTCCTCCATTTCAAAAGGATAGTTTCGATATGGCGACTTCAAATCCACAAAATATGACTTGCAGACATCTGTGGAGGTTTCTTCGCATGATTCTGGATCCATAGCCATATTTTCCACTGACCTTGTGATTTCTTTCAATTTTTCGCCGATGATCTTCAATGGTATGGACGTCTTTCTTCGAGTATCTCCTGTTAACCCAACTTGACTTTGCGCTGGGAGTCCTGTATGACCATATTCCCTTTCCAATCCAATTTTGTCTGAGGCAGATGACCTAAGCTGAGGGACATGCACCTTTGCTTCTCTTTCTTTCATGTCTCGCAATAATCGATCCGTAAATTTTGTTGTTTTCAAAAGGAATGCTTTCTCGGCTGTTGAGGAGGATAGGTTTTCAATTTCTTTTTTCATTTCTTTGTTTTCAATTCTCAGTTCTTCAATCTTTTGCATGGCACTTTTTAACTGTTGCTTCAAATCCTCGACCTCTTGGCTCACAGTTTGGGAGAAGAACTCGTTTTCGCTGCCCTTTCGGATGTAATTTTCTGTGGCATTTTCGGCAGTATTGGAAATCATGGAAATCCTGTCTGAACTTTTGTAATCACCAGTTTCAAAAACTTTGAGAACCGGTTCGTTCTTGAGAAAACTCTCTAAAGTTGTTCCCTCTTGCACTGTTCCGGGCCCGCTTGTCAAATTTTCTTCACCTTCCTTTTTCAAAAAGTCCTTAAGGTGAACATCTGGTTCTTCGTCGGCCTCCCCAAAGAACGAGAGAGGGCTCTGATTAGTTGCTCTATTATCCGTCAGTAACGTTCCAAACTTTTCCTCTGTGTAATCAGTAGCCTTGGGAAGGGTAGGTGGGGATGAAATCTGATCTTCCTCGATAATCTTTGAGAAAATTCGCGGAAATTTTTGTACTGAACATGGGCTTAATGTTTCTAAGGTATTATTTTTCTGTTTAGTAGCATTCTGTGTATCCTCCACCAACTCATAGCTTGTGTCTGACAATTTAATTGCGTTTTCCTGTACTTGGCAAACATCTTCCCGAATCTTCTCCAGTTCTTCACCGTTTTCTCTAGGACTTTCCTCATTTGTATCAGACGGTCCGGACAACGAACTCTGCAATGATGCATCAACTTGGCGGACATCTTCACTTTTATCTCGAATGGACAAATTCCCTTTTGTATAGTCCTCATCAGTCAATGCTAATGACGAACTCAATAAACCAATAACACAAGGAATGTCTTGACTGTGTACTTCTGTTGGCCAGTCTTCATGCAAACTGTCATCGTTTAAAAGCTTATCGCATTTGTTGTCGAAAGATGAAAAAACCTCTCTATTCTCCACAAAATCATCCAGTCCGTTTCTTTCGTCCTTTTCAGGAAAAGACAAAACTATGGTGTCATCTTTAGCTATCTTTTCTTGTTCGTTTACTTCGCTCGTTTCTTCTACAGCACACTCTTGTGGGACAGATTCCTCCTGCTGCCCGCTGCCATGATTCCCACCTTCCTCTCCCTCAGCCTTCAGTTCCTCGCCGAAAGCTGGAAAAACCTCTCCATTGTCCACACAATCATTCAGTCGGTTTCTTTCGTCCTTGTCAGGAAAAGACAAAACTATAGTGTCATCTTTAGCCATCTTTTCTTGTTCGTTTACTTCGCCCGTTTCTTCTACAGCACACTCTTGTGGGACAGATTCCTCCTGCTGCCCGCTGCCATGATTCCCACCTTCCTCTCCCTCAGCCTTCAGTTCCTCGCCGAAAGCTGGAAAAACCTCTCCATTGTCCACACAATCATTCAGTCGGTTTCTTTCGTCCTTGTCAGGAAAAGACAAAACTATAGTGTCATCTTTAGCCATCTTTTCTTGTTCGTTTACTTCGCCCGTTTCTTCTACAGCACACTCTTGTAGGACAGATTCCTCCTGCTGCCCGCTGCCATGATTCCCACCTTCCTCACCCTCAGCCTTCAGTTCCTCATGTTGTGCTCCTAACACCTCTTTTAGCTCTTCCATTTCTTTTTTCACTTTAGCTAGTTCTCCTTCGGCTAACTCTCTCTGTCTCACTGCATTTGCCAGTTTAAATGTAAGAGTACATATTTGTTGTGTTTTCAAACTCTTCACATCACTCCCGGCTTTCTTTTCTTGTTCCAGCTGTTCCTTAAGAGTTGTCACCTCAGTTCGAAGCTCCGAGATAATTCTTTCTAAAACCTCTTCGTTCGATGGACTGTCTTTCTTCCCTGAATTACTTAAATCTTCAGGTTTTTCTATGAGCTGTGAAAAACAGAATTTGACAGCTAATTATCGCTAATTACCCGAACAAATCCTTTTAAAATTTATGATTGATGAAAGTTAATGAATACCATGTGCGCTGTTTACTTCCTAAATGTTTTCTTCATTATCACTTTCAGAGCCAATGCTAATCAGGCTCTTATTCTGAAAACAAGAATTTACCCTGTTCAAACTGACGTAAATCGCACCTTTATTTCTGAAGTAAGTAAATAAATGGTTTAGATTGCAATGTAAAAAAATGCTACCAAGAGACTCCACAACCATCCTCCAAAACTGTCATGAGATGTTGAAATTTTACCCCTTCATTTCCTCACTGTTTTCGATTAATATTAACCCAGATTTTGCTAGGGGGTAATCAACTCCTACGAAAATCCGTTTGCTGATTGGCTGCAAACTATTCACTAATGAATAAAGGGGGTAAGTTTCTAAATAAACTGTGCCGGGCTATGCAGGGGAGGGGGGGGGACTGTGTAGGGAGGGATACTATAATGTAACTTGGTTTTATCGACTCAGTTGATAATGTAAATTGGCCACCGTGAAAGGTTTCTAGAGCTGACGTTTAGCGCGTTAGTCCTTCGCTCTGTTCATTAATTCTTTGTTCAAATAAGCTGCCTTCTTGTGTAAGGTTTGAACTCATTAATGCTAGTTACATGGTTGAACTTAAAATCAGCGTCAGTGCGACGATTGTTGTGTATACTTGGACAAATGATAATGGTTTCTAAGTATTACCAATATTATCTATCAGATGCTAATTGGACTTCGGTTTCAGTGTTTGGCGCTCCTTCTATGTGCACCCTTCTTGTTAAAGTTTTCCTCAATAAGCCGACTGTGAATTATTTAGAATTTAAACCCTCATGATGCTGGAGCAGAAGCCCGGAGTTAATTTTGTTGATGTAGTGTGAGTTTGACTTTTTTCCGCCCGCAGTCTGTCAGCCCATCGATACAGAAAACATCCCAAATTTATATTATTATTGGTTTACAATAACTCTCTCTTTTTAAGGAAAATTGTCATTTCCATACGCCGACCATAGTTCATAAGAGAGAGTTGGACTTTAAGAATCTTCGAACTTGAAAGTATTCGAAGAAATCTAGAGTTATCCATTGATGGAATCTTAAACAATGACATGTTTACCTGATGTTTACTCGATCGCCTCCTAACTCGTTTTAACATCTTCGGCTTCTTTGATAATACTTTTCCGACTCCTCAACAATCAGACAAACTTGAGACCACAACCGCTTAGGTTTTCACCTTCCTCGATCTACAATATCGACGTCGAAGAGTATTAAATTTGAAATGTAGACTTGTTGGAAAGAGTAAGTCGTTAGAATAATTGAAGAGCTTCGTATGTCAGTCTATACTTTTTTGTTAGTGACTTGATGCCATGTCTAATTACACCTCTGGTCACAAAAAGTAATACACTTTGCTAAATCAGTTGTTGATAAATCTCCGTTATTTTCATTAAAAGGTAGCTTAAGATTCTAGTTGGCAAATACATTTGGTTATTTTAAACTTTGTAGACGCGCTAGTTATGAAAACGATCCTTACTTGAAGAACAAAAAGGTTCGATTTCTTTTGCCTTCCAGTGCAATTTCCGTCAATCCAAAGAACAGAAACGTTTTAAGTGTCAAGTCTTCCTGTTTCAGAACTATGCCAGAGGTAGCATCAACAAACAGATATCACTTAGCAGTCAAACTTGTACACACACCTGGGATCGACAAAGCCGCCGAAATCATTTAAATGCTTCATTCCAATTTCCTTCATTATGCAAGGTCCGTTAAAATTAAGCTCCTCACAACTTCGTATTGGGTTATCCAAGTGAAATGTCTTTCCCTCCAACTATCCTTTTCCTTCTTCTTCGATTGGTGTACCCTAAGGAAACATGATTACTTCTTGCGTGTTTATTAAACGTACACTAAAACAACAATGGCCCAAACTAATTTGCACCGAGCCTTTGAGGTCAATTGCAGCATTTAAATGTTATGCAAATATACTTCCTTATTTTTCATTAGTCTGACAAGTGAGTATTATCTTAATCCAGCCCTTTTCACAAAAGCTTTCAAGTTTATCGTCTACCTGACGAGGTAGCCGGGTTTTAATTATAAAAAATCGGAGCGGTGGGCTTTCAGGAAGTAAACAGTTTTACTGAATGAGCTGAAGGATCATTAAGCGTGAGATGTTTGAGTAGCCGAGCTTAACCCTTTAAATCCCAAGATCTTACTGTTAATTCTCCTCTCTAGCTGTTATAAATTTTCCTGTTAATAAGTTACAAGAATTTGGTGTTAGATCTAGAAAATAACTTCAGCCTGATAAGTTTGGTTATTCTCATTACCTATTTGCTTGATAACGTAAGGATAATATGTAGGGAGAAGTTACGTGTTAATCGTTTCGGAAGCTGAAGGGTTCATATGTGTTTACTGTAAACGGAACGGTTATAAAAGTATTTTCCTACACAAGGAATTTTCATTTCGTTGCAAAAAAAAAATTAATGCACAATAGTTTCTTAGCTTTGTATATATTCTAAGTTTTCACATGCTGCCGCAATAATATTTCACGATATAACGCTATAAAGGAACAAGTGAACATAGTAATGGGTTCGGTGATGTAAGCTGAGTATGATATTTACAAAAACGTCGATAGGATGAAGTTGGAATTCGTTTTGTCTCCTATCAGTCGTTAGTATACTTTTAGTGAAAATTCTGGCATTAAGTGTGAACAAGTGATTAATTGCGCAAGGGTTGATCTAAAGAGTTAAGAGGAATAGTCACAAAATTTTGGGTGACTATCGCCGTTTGTAGTTGCCGTGGATGGAATGCCGGCTTACACTCACTTTTATCAACTAAATGAAAACGTAACTGTTTGACAAATTCTGACATTACACACACTATGGCAGTCTTTATCCTATTTCACTACAAGCAATTTCGATTTAAGACTTGGTTCAATAGTTTTCGTTTATGATCAGCGCAAATGGGAATATGTTCACTTTCGCTTAACACCGTTTGTTCTGATTTTAGTTTGAACACTGAACGTATGGCTGCGTCAAAAAGTCGTCATCTTCAGACAAAACTCATGTGATAGCTCTTTAGATCAAAATGTACGATACCGAAGTCTTGTCCATTGAAAGATCTTACTTTTTCTTTCATTGTAGTATTTGCCATCTTAGGTATTTTTTTTCGTAATTTAAGACACACTGAAGCAGTATATTATTTATTTTAATTCCATTATAAGTTGCACAGTTGTACCATGCACATGCAAAATGTCTAAAATTCCTAGAGTGTTTTAAGCAATAACCTGTGCGCGATAGACAATGTTTTAAGTGACCAGATGTTTCCCTCTAAGAAAACATTTTCTGTTGTTTTGTTTCAGCTGGTATGTTAAGCTATTTTATCTCAAAGTTTAATCAGTTTTAGCCGAAAAAGAGATATTAGTTATTTAAACTGACGCTCTCCATAAACTACTGCGTTAGATTAATTTAGAATAAAATGGAACATATTCATTCAGTTTGACTAATCATAGAACACAAGTACTGATTACAATAGCGAGGTAAAGAAAGAAGTTGACCCTTTCATTGTTGAATCATGCACTCTCAAACGAAGTTGAACACAGACCCCTGTCTAGTCCACTGCGCGTCTCAATACCCTCGACCCAGTGTTCAGTTATACAATTGAACCATACGACACGAAATGCAGTTTTTTTTTCAATTACCTGAGACGGGATAGGTTCTAGGCTTTTAAGGAATATAAGGGCATGGCCCTATTCCCAACAAAAGAAGTGTTTTTTATTACTACTGAACTGTATGATACAAACAAACAATTTCGTTTTCATAAGTAGTATATTGAGTTCGTTTTAAGTCCAACACTCGCTGTTGTTGATGGTTACTGCTTCTCCTTAGATGGAGCGAGATCTGCTTCGACACTTTCCAAATTCTGTAGAACTCTGCGAGGAAAACAGGACAGAATCACTTACTTTAAGATCGAAATTTATATTTAGGAAACAAAATGAATGAGGCAGGTGAAAACACTACTAAGTTGCTTCGTTGTTTTTTTCGTGAAGTTCAAAAAGGAAGCTCACTGCCAAGTTATCTAATCGAAACGAATTATGCGAAAAAAAAGGTGAAAATCCATCGCCAACTGCACTTTTCTCTTTTTCATGCTAATTTGTTCATACTTTGACATTAAATTCACTAACCGCGCTTTCAATTTCATTTTGATAAAATCTAGTCAAGTAATTAGTATAATGTTATCTGTCGCTGTTGTCCATTCAATTTAGAATTACTTTTCGAGAGAAATCGTTAATGGGCCCCTGAAATCGTATACTCTGGAAAAATTTTCTACGTCGTTTCGCAATTTGTTTCCATTAATGGTAGACGTAATGAAAGGACTAAATTTATAACAAATACATCTTGCTGTTTATTTCTCCCGGCATAATTTTTTTACCTAATACCTTGTAGGCCTTCAACTCTTCCGTAGAAAACTTTTGAAAACACGTAATTCATAAAAAATTAGAATTTAATTTGCGATTTTTGCAGTTCGGACGAGTGAAACTTTAGTCCGTACTTGTTCTGTGTCTTTTACCAACCGTAAAGAATTTTATTTGAGACTGTAATGATGTCCAGTGGATCCTATTTTTTTTTTCACAAATTGTTACATTTCTTCCTTGCGATTATTGTGTTTTGCGTACTACAAATGTCTGTTTTCACTAAGTGCTCCATCATCGGAATTAAATCTCATTTCGTTAAGTTTTTTCAAAACACAGCACCTCAATTTGTTTTTGTTTTGTTTTGTTTTTTTTTACATTATTGCAGCTTAAGGGTACATTAGCGTATTTTTGGTTTCAGGCTTGTTTTTTAGTTTATTTTCCTTTATACCATTGTTTCACGCATGTGGGCTTTCTGTTTTGAACGTATTGCACATCAATAACTGCCAAAAGACTTAAACAGGTCAACAAAATGATTTTGGTCAACTTTCTCTTGTAAAACTAAAGCAGCTTAAAATACTTTTTCCTCATAAATCTCAGCCTCGTGACGTTAGTTCTAAAAGAGGCTCAAAAAAGCTATCTCCTCGGAAATGTTTTTCGGTGTGCAACATTAATATATATTTTCCATACTCGAAAAGTCACTTGATACTTAACTAAATTCAAGTTTCATGGTCGGAAATTGTACTTCCTTCTAAAAACGCCACGTGAATTTAAAGAGCATTACGACAAATAAAATAATATGTATATGTATATTTTTTTTTGCTACAAAACAATGAAACTATTGTCGCCGAGGCAAATCAATTCTTGTTAGCAATCTTCAACTAGTGAACCTTTTTTCTCAATAAAAATCCGCGACGGTCGGTGTAATTCACGCGTATTTTGAAACACGTTTCGTTTCTCGACGTTTTCTGAAGCGACGAAGTTTCGTGCAATATAGACAGTTTTCAGCAGAATTCAACAGTGAGTTCTTAAGGCTTAATTGTTTTGTAAGCTATTTTTCGGTGATACAAACTTTACGAAACCCGTGTGAAGTTAAGCCTTTATTGTCCTCAGCGATTTACGTCATTTCAACATAAACCACGAAGTGTAATTCAGATACTTTTGTTTACCTTTAAAACAAACGCTCTGTCCGCTCCCAACCTCACATTTTTTTTTACTTGCATCTTCTCACAACACGAAAACAGAAATTTACACGTAAAAAATAAAAACTGAATAAACTTTTACCTTTTCCTTAGTTCCGACAAAGCTAAATGGTGGCAAGGAGTCTTCCAAGTCATCTTCCATATCACTTTCTGAAAAGCTCCAGTCTTCGACACGAATCAATGGAACACAGAATGTCGAATCTTTTCTCGTAATCGCTCGTGTTTCGCTCGGATAATCCTCGGTTATGTCCATTTCGGAACCACTGCCGTCCCCTTCCGACACCAGAATGTCTGAACTGTCTTCCTCAACCGAAGTGAAGCTCTCATTGTTATTCACTTTTTTGCCATGAACAAAACGCGGAAGCTTAGAGTAAGAGCACCCATTCTGGTTTGAAAACAAGTCGTCGTTGTTACCAGCTCCAGTCAAGAAGGTTTCCATTATAGAAATGGTATGACAATTTCACCAAAGGCTAAAACAAGTGAATCTGAGAAATGTTCCCGATTGCACAAAAGTATTTTTCCTCGTCGGACTTTTTCAGGGAAAAATTGAAGCGTGGGGCTCTGATTCAGCACAAGCTAAAGGTTTCCCTGGGTATGCTTTGCCACACTTTTCGAATGTTAACGAGAACAAACAGAAGTCAGATGGAACTGGTCGTGAGCTCCCATGAAGCAAAATACACATCAGATATTGAGCGTGTCTCCTCTTGAAAACATGTCACTTGACCTCACTTTTTTTCTCATTAATGTCTTCGCTATAGTAAATAAAACAAAATGGTTCCGCTAGCCGAGTGCTCCTACGCAAAAGCATATTACACCATTATAATAATCCTGTTTCATTGGCTCGACTAAAACAATAACACCCGCTTCTCCTAAACCTATGAACTAGTCGTGCGGGTAAAATATGCAGCGACAACATTCAGTAAAAAACACTCGCAGGGAAGGAAACCACCATTGACCTACTAAAGAAAATCTCTTTGGTGGAAAGTGTATTATTTCTCGTTTAAAATTCCCAAACCACCCTTATTTGTAATTTAGCACCCTAAACACAACCAGCCTATTTTCCGGTGTCGGAAACAATTTTATGACAATGTTTTCTCCGTAAAAGCCGACATGTAGATGAAATTAAAAACAGGGAAAACGATTGTCTTCCGCTGACGTGCTAATCATAACGTGAGAAATGCACAAAACAACACCAATTTGGCTACGAATACAGGATTTTCACCGATTCATTCAACTTGCGAAAATGATGTACTGTTTTTTTTTTGTTTTTTTTTTATCAAAGCCATGAAAGTGTTCTGGTGAAGGAGGTAAATAGTGGGTTTCCGTAGGCTTTGGTAAATGAGGTCATCAAAATTTTTCGGAAAATAGCATTAAGAAACCGCGAGCGATTTGATCCTCAGCAAAACTTGATAAAGGAGGGAAAAAGAAAGGCAGACCAGACGAAACAAATCAAAGTGAGGTCACAATCCAAGAAGATATGCTGAGGTTATTTTCAAAATGTTTCTCTGTTACCACGCAAAATTGAGTGCAAAGTTTACGCACGTCAAAACGTTTATTCGATTGAATTCATACTTTTTTTTCGTCAACAGGAAAGATGTGATTCATTATAAGAATGTTGCTGGTTATCCGTCTCTGGCAATAAAGCGCAACGATTCATAGCCGATAATTATAAGATTCGCGTAGGAGCTAATTTCTCGCCTGTATTACAAATTGAACGCACCAGCCCCGAGCTAAAAAAAACTAGCTTTTTATCTGATTTTCAATCGAAGCCAAGCCGATTATTTACTCTTCATAAGATGCCGAGGATGCTAATTATCAAATCAATTTCCAAAGAAATTCAGAAAATTTTCTATCACTAAAACCCGATAGCTAAGGAGAAAGCAAAGATGATTATTACTGTAAAATAGCGACTACAGTGTAGCTGAGGTAGACTACATTAAACCCATCAGCTTGTGATATTTGCGTTACCCATACCCAGTCCTCACTCTTTCTGGCTGTTTCATCAAACGAGGAGTTATTTCATAACCGTTCGTAAAATGCAGCATTTTTTTATTAGGAAAGAGTCCTAGTGCGTGGCAACTGAACACCAAAACGCTAAGAACCAGGAGAACTTGTACCAGATTAAAGCAGAAATGTATTTTTAACTAAAGATAAGCTCGTTTATTTAAGGATGCCGAGATAGCTCAGTTGGGAGAGCGTCAGACTGAAGATCTGAAGGTCCCTGGTTCAAACCGGAGGGTTCGAATGAGCCCTGAATAATCCCGGGTCTCGGCATAGTTTTTTTCTTTTTTTTTTTTTAATCCTTTTCTGATCTTGTTTCATGAATATTTCGAATTTTTACACTCCAATTTTCCATTTTTTTTTCCCGTTACAAATGATACATTACGATCAAAACAGATACGCTCAAGGCGAAGCCTATACCGTCATTTTGTGGAAAACCCTAAGCCGGTTACTAAAACGGAATGAGTTAATTTTCCCGAAACGAAAGAGGCTTAAAATATGTGGTACGAAACGTAATACAAGTATCGGAAAGGATAATGAATTTTTATTTTGAAAATCAATCCACCATCTTGAAAACTTTTTCCGCACAGAGGTCCTGGGAACGAGAGAGGATTGGATCCGTCCTTCATTCGCACTTCTGTAAGTTTTTACTTCGGCTACATGAAATGCGGTACCTCGTTAACAAAGTAGTTGGTCAGTAGTTGGACATTTGCCGACAATGAGTGATAGCGACGAAACAGTGTGCGAGGAAATTGACGATCCAGCAACACAGAGCTCGTTTAAATTGTCACCTTCAATAATTGCTGCAAAACCAAGGTGAAATTGTTACTTAGTAGGTTAGTTGCGGATGATGATAAGTGAGTTTTGCGCTTTTTCTTTCTTATACAGGAAATACGTATTGAATGAAAGTGCTAACCTTGATGTTACAACCACAAGGGATGCCCCTAGCTCCCCAGAGTTCCTCCCTCCAGATGCAAAAGTCCAGAAACTAGCAATCAAAGACAAGACAGGATCTGCAAAAACACGTGGTTGTGAAGAACTGGAGAGCTCTCAGGCTTCCTCGACAACCAAAGACAAAGTAGCAGGGGAAAAACTATCATCAATTAAGGAACACGAAGATAAAATTGCAGAGTTATTGGTTACACTCGAGTCAGACTTGGCAAGAGGTAGGAATAAAATCAAACAAAACAAAACAAAAGAAAAAAAATGTTAGCCAGAAGTTTGGTAAAGGAGAAAATGCGTTGTTTTTAACCCTTTACGCCCTAACATCAGTAAAGGTTTTCTCCATACTGTTCTCCATACATTCTCTAATGTGCTGACAAGGAGAATTTGTGTAACAATCAACAGCTTCTTTAGCCACTGATAATTTCTTTATTCTCATGATCTGACTGCATGATTTAGGGGTGATATTGTAAGGAGAAATTAGATGCTAGTCACTTTTAGGGGTTCAAGGGTTAAGGAGGGTCTGAAAATTCCACTTGTTGATTTTAGAGTAATATGAGTTCTATCTATAATGTTTTAGGAACTCCACTTAAAGAAAGTTCAATCTTTGCTCAAGTTAAACAACTGATGACTACAGTTAAGACTCAACTTGCTCACTTCACCCAATACCAAAAACAACAAAGACATCAAATTGCAAGTTTTACTGTTGAGTCAAAGACCAACCAAGATGGCTTTTCATCACAGAGGACTTACAAAACTAAGTGTAAGCTGCTTGAACTTGCCGCGCAACAAAAGGAGTTGTTAAAACTATTCCAAGGTCATAAGAATCTTTTTGAGAAAATACAAATGCTGAAAGAAAAGGTCAAGACAGTTGCTGAGCATGTTTTACCAGCTGTAGAGATGCACTGTAAATCTTATGGAGCAAAGAACATGCAGCTAGAAATTAAAGAAAACAGTGCTGTGTCAAGTGCATCAATGACTATGCTGGCATCAAATATAAATTTGTCATCAGACACAGTATGTACAAAAACCATTAATTGTGCCACCAGTATCTGTTTACAGCCCTTAACACTGTCTACTGCCTCACAGTTCACAACCTTGGAAGATCAAACACAGCCTTGTCATGTGATGACAAGTTGTAGTCCTACAAATGGGAGACATGTTTCAACTACAACTCATACTTCAGTGACCTGTCCCTTACTCCAATCAAGCATTCAAGATACGGTCTTAACTGGTCATCAGGTACATTATGTAGAAGGAAAGCAAGTTTATATGCTACCTCAAGAACTCGATACAAGTGTTGCAAAGTCATATTCCCTCATACAACCACCTCAGGCACATGTTACCACAGCAAGGCTGTCTTCCAATACAAAGACCTCTGCATCAGCAACAGAAACAAGGCTCACCACAGCAAATGTTTCTGATGCACAATCAGGGACAAGCTGTATTTGGCTCAGTGGAATACCTATGGTGTCTTCCTTGGTGTCCAGTGTCGATACTCCTGTATTAAGTTCGTCTGTTTCGTTGCAACCAATGAGTTATCCAAGTACCAGTTCAACCTTGCAAAGCTCACTTATGCTTAGCAGTGAAAATAGTAGTCAAGTGCTTAAACAAGCAACCCATGCAGGCCAAAAAGCCACTCCTTCCCAAGTGTCAAGTATGAACTCCATGACAGTATCGGAGCTTCAACCAAGAGCCTGGGCCAAATCATCAGTCAACATACCCTCCCAGATTACTTCTGCAGTACCAAGTAAATTACAAGCCACTAAAACAACTTCTACTCCATTGAAAGGACCAGTGAGTATCACTAAAAATCTTAACTAGTTTAGGTCACACAGGTACTGTCTACTTTATATGCATTAAACTTGTTCACAATTAGGGAAATTTTAATTGGGGTTACTACACCAATAAAAAATTTGTGGTGAAATAAAGGTGTATGAAATCTTACAAATACTGTTACAAATTCTGCTTGTTTTGTCAGTGAATTAGCTTTGGAAAGGGGATTAATAAACAGGATTTTACTATGTGCTTTGAATTCAGGTAATTTTCCTGCCATCACATAGTATTAATTAGTTCCCTCTGGAATTTAAGATCCTCTAAACAAATTTACCACTGAAATGATGGGCAAATATTCAGTTGAGCATAACAATTCTTTTGCAGTCAGCGCTGTTGAGAAGGAGTTCAGGTTTACAAAGAAAAGGTTCATTTGGCTCAGACCTTCCTGACATAAAAAGCCTTCTTAGCCACAATGTTATTGAAGCAGGCATGAATGTCCTTTCAATACAACACGAGGTGGATATTTATTGTCGTTATTACCAGTTAAAACAAAAGCATATAATCTATCTTCCATGCACCTTGTTGAAAAAAATTGAGTCATATTTTATCCAGCCCAATACTGCTCAACAATACTCAATTTCTCAACATTTTGTATGACCAACATTCTGCCATAACTTCCAGAAACTTTAAGCTTAGGATAAAATCATAAGATTTGAATCTCAGACCATCTTATTTCTTTGCAGATAAATTGTAGGCTTAATGTTCAGATGAAAATAAAATGTTAAAAATGGAAGAAAAAGATTATATATCTTAAGCATAGTTTTCAAATTTTGGGGTGATTTAATCTCCTCACAACAGTTGTGAGTTGGTAAAGTGAACCCCTTGACCATAAGAGTGACTAGTATTTAATTTCTTGTTACAGTATCATCCTTGAGTCACACATTTACATTGAGAGAATAAAGGAAATGATAATCAACTAGAGAAGTTCTATTCTAGTTGTCAGCATTTTAGGAAATGCATAGAGAACAGCAAGGAGAATATGCATTCTGATGTTTGGGTGTAAAGGGTTGTATTTGAATGCATTCATGATTTACCCAGTGATGTGGATATAGCTTCAAAACTTGCTGCTGAATCCTTTTTCAATGTCAGTTATTCTGTCATATTTACCCCACAGGGAAGGAATTTTGAGGCTTCTCTGAGGTCAAATGGCTTAATAGAGTCTGCAGGTGGAGAGACATTTCGCACTCCTATGGCTTGGATGAGGGCAGTGACAGGAAGTTGGAATACTATTAAGCAATCTCATGCATACAAGATGGTAAATAGATATAAAATTATGATTAAACCAACACAGTGACTGGAATTTCTAATTAACGATGCAAAGATGTACTTACAATTTGATAAACAAATGTCAGGTTAAAACAAATTAAAGCAAGTGGCAAATGTACTTTAGTACTAACACAAATGACAATGGCTCTATCGATGATAAAAATAATGATGTTGTGATAAAATTTAAAATGTATCTACAAAATTATATAACATCTACTTCTACTGAGTGGTGACCCAAATTTTTTTTTGTTTCTTTACAGGTCCATTATAAAGGCAAACCTCTTGCATTATTCACAATACCATCCAAAGAAAAAGGTACCAGTACACCTACATAATAATTTCCAGCTACATAAAAATGTCTTTTTTTAGTTTTTTTTTAGTTTTTTTTTTAGTTTCATGCTTGCTGTCTTTGCCTCTAACTTTGCAGACACTTGTGGGAACAAAGAAAAACAGGCCACAATGACAAGGTACTCTAGACTGTTTTCTCTCTTGTGTACTTATTACACCTTTATAATATTCAGTTGTTTTTTTTAATTTTACAAGCAATATTTTGGGGATTGCAAGATGGTGTTAATAGCAATTACTCTCATATCCCAAGGAAGAGCTTTGCATAATGATTCCAAGTGTTTACAATAATCTTTTTGAACTGGAGACTATTTTTTAAAAGTAAAACCATACTTGTAATGTGCTTTGTGCAATTTCTATGCATCAAAGTTGTATTTCAGGGAGAAAAGAATGTGCCTACCAGGCTATGAAAAATATTAAACAATCAATTTCATTATAATAACATATTTAATTAAAAACATGGGACTTTTTTGAGCAGTTTAGGAAACCACTGACACTTCTTCACTTCAATGTCTGTACGAGTTTTAAATTATTTTGCATCATAACCACATTTTGTTGAATCCTTTTTTCAAGAATATTTAGTTCTTATAAACTCTGATTAAATTTTACCTCTAGGGAATTACTTTCCAGTTATCAACAGAAGACAAGCAGGAAGAGTGGTCTAATGACCAGCTGGGACAATGTAGCTAAGCTTCTCACTGACTGCCAAGTAATGCCTATCAACAAAGATGAATTGATTCCCTCAGACAGCTTTTTACCCATAGACTTCTGGGAACCAACACTTGAGGTGGATATACCACAGTCTGTCCTGGATGGACTTGAATTTTGAACCATGTATTTACATGTTAGCAACTTTTAATCTTGAACTTATAGATACCGGTATATTAGGTTTTGCAAAATTACATAAAAAGTACATTTTCTACCTGTTATCATCAATGTCTTGCTTCATCAAAGCTAACAGCTGTATCTAAGAAAGTTGAAAGTTTAAACATTGAAAACTTAGGCTGGCTTAACAGAACCATATTGATCCTGATTTTATATCTTGTATTTATGTTGACAACTGTTTGCATCATTAAAGGCTTGTCACACTGCATTCTAATGTGGTAGTGTAGCTGGTTGTTGTAGGTGCATGTTAATTGCCACAAACTTATTCAGTCCATAAATTACGAATGCATGTCCCCTTTTCCTTTTATCAAGGTTTGGGTAAGTATGGAGAGCACTGATATTAGCATTTACTCTTTCAATCTGTTTTTACTGCACTATGATAAGGCAGTACAAGTATTAAGTGAAACACTTTGAGTAAAGACATGCCTATTCACACAATGGAAATGTGGACATTCCAACCAGTACAGAAGAAATGTATACACATGTTTATCTAAGATTAATAAAAGTGATTAAGGGTAAATAACACAGATTAGGATGTTAAATAATCTATTGAAAAAGACCACCAGTTCATAGACAAAATAGACACAGTCCTATTTGTGGCTTATATGAAACTGCCATGTATCTAATTTTAATATATTTTCTTATAAATCAGTAACTGAAGATATTTTACACTCAGGGTTGTAACATGTGTACATGTAGTACTACTGTCTGTCTGTGTCAGCATGCACTCAAAGAAAAAATTGTACCTTTACAGTATTTTAAAGCTAAAAACTTTCATTACAAGTCACATTTTCCAGGGATCATAATTTATAAACTGCTTTAGTTAAATGACTGTTCTCACTGAGAGCAAACTGACTTTAAATTTCCTTACTGAACACAACAAAACAGTATTAGGAAACAACATTCACTTTACTCTTACTCTTGGCAGGTTTCAAAGATCATCTGTCTAAATCAAACTTGAAAAAAGTATTTTAGACACAAAATGTATTGATCTATGAAAGGAAATTAATATTTCTCTAATCAACCATGAAATATATGTCAATGTTTCATGTGCAAACAAATTTCTATCATAATAAAAATAGATATATCTATCTATTAAGTCATAATAAAATCCCTTGACTAGTAATTACTTCTCTCCCCATGTTATTGCTATCATTGCTTCTGCTTGTTTCCACACAAATATCAGCATGTTGTTCAATCCAAGCCAGTGGAAACAACTTAGAACATATTGGACATGGAATATGGTCATCTTCAAGGGTAGTGTTAGTTTGAGAAACATCTGTTTTATTATTGCACAAAGCAGCATGAATTTCAATCTTTGTTAATGGGAAGAACATGCTGCAGATTGGGCATTCCACTAAAGATATTGATGATGCTTTCTTGGCAGGTGATGGTGACAATTCATAGTTGCCACAGTGGAAAAGCTCTTCTTTTGCTGGCTTATTAGCAGAAGAATCTAACATAGAAGGGAGTTCTTCTGTGTCATCCTCAAGAAACCTTGATGAAGATGATGGGATGTCCTCCTCAAATATGTCAACAGAAAGAATTGGCTTCTTCCTACTTCTATGAGTTTTGTTTTCAGGCATAGATACAGTTGATGTCAAATTTGGTGATTGATTTTGGTTCATAGTTGCAGAGGGTTTCTCTTCTGAAGCAGATGTTGCATTACTAAAACTTCAAGAAAAGATTGTATTATGAGCAGTCACAATGTAACAGTTCTTCCCAAACAAGTCCCTGTATGAAGTCATCCAAACAAACAAACAAAGAAAAGTAACGTTTGTAACAACAGCAGGGCCTGCTAATGCTAATTGTGCATCTGCCTCTCTCAACCAGACCTTTTGTTTGTTAAAATTCCACTTAAAGAAGCTCAAGGAGGATTTAGATATATCATTATTGGAGTGCATTACTTAGGTGGTTCTTACTGAATAACTAACCTCTCTCTGAGCTGTTTCTTTGCTCTGCTAGGATTTTTGCCCATTTGAGGACTTGGACTTGTATCACATTTGTTTGTGGACAATTCCAGAACATCCTGAAAATTAAGAATCACTAGCCATCACAAAAAATGAACTTAAAGTGGGGATCTCTTTCTGTTAATTTATTAGGAGAGTAGCAGTCCTAATTTTATCACTACAGACAGGCATGAAGGTGCACACAGTGTAGATTACCTCTAGATCACTATCACTGTCCTCGGCAGCTGGCTGTAATTTATCAATGGCAGCCTTTGTCATCTGTGAAAAAGAAAATACTTTGGATATTAAGAGACAATTCAAACAAAATCTCACCATTTATTAACATTTGCAACTAATTTTGTCAGTTGTCTAGTCAGAGGTTACCTGAAGAAAAACTTTCTTCTCTAGGCTGGTGAGAGAACAACCCCTCTGTGCCTCCATTTGGCTTCTCAAGTCTGGGTGAAAGAAAAAAAAAACATTGAAATAGACAATGAAACACAAAGTACCTGACATACAGTGTCTATTTAACCCTTCAACTCCAAGAAGTGATTCACACGTAACTTCCCCTTACAATATCCATCCACTATCCAGCAAACAGGTATTGAGAATACTCGAATGAATCAGGTAGAAGTTGTTATCTTGATCTAACACAAAATTGTTGCAACAAATTTACAAGGGGATGTGTAGCAGCTGGAGGGGAGAATTAACAATCAGATCTTGGGAGTTAAAGGGTTAATATTCATAGCATGAAACCAGTGAGAGACGCTGGTCATTTAGTTTTGAGCCAAAAGTTAGAGTCTTGTTTGAAGGTATCCTACTAAATTGTCATTGAATACAACTGAAGATAAAATTGATTACCTTTAAATGTAACACTTCCAAGATCAATTTTTGTGAAGTCAATATCCTCAAGAAATAGTTCCACTTCATCACGTATCTAAAAACATTAAAAAATAATAATAATAAAAAATATATATATATAAATATATATAATTATGTATTTCTCCAAAAATTGTTCTTTAACTGTCAACTGAAGAGTAAATTTAACTTGAATGGTTGGATTGGAAACATTCCTGAAATTATGGCAAGTGAAATAGAAGGGTTTTTTTTAAGCACAAAAAGAACAGATTGAAATGCTATTCTTACATCCCCAGCAAGGCTCCATGTCTTCTCTTGCTTTTTCTTCTTTAAATTTGTTTCTGTAATGGAGAATAATTTCTGGTGTGAGAAGTTTTTATTCAACATAGATATCAATGAGAGGGAAGAGGCAATGTCAAGTTCTGCAGAGAGTAACTGGGATACCAATGCAAAGTGTTGTCGGGTCAGTCATGATGATGGGGCCAGGTTCTGATTTAAAGAAGATTCTGGAATATCATTAGGAAACAATTATAAAGTTTCCAGTCAGGGGGAGATTGTTTGGTGGGGTTCCAGTGTACTCAGATTCCCTCTGTAATCCATAACTTTGTGCGTATAACAAAACATCTTACCACCTTTGGAAAGGTTTTTGCATGGTGTCTCAGTAGCTTAATTTATGTCTCGTACCTTTTTCTGTCTTTTTTTGTACTAGTCCCTATAATCTGTGTATATGAAGTAGTGGTAATATCACCATGTGACACTGATAAGTGTGGTAATTGTGGTTCAAATATACAGTAGTAGCCTGCTAACTCAAACCTTTCGGTAACTGGAACAAGATCTGATTTCCCTCAATCCATTTTTTTCAGTCATTTACTATCAAACAAACTTGAACCCATGCTAATTCAAACCATTTTTCTGCTTCTCTTGGGAGTTTAAGTCAACAGGGTTCTACTGTAATCTTAGACTTTAGGTCTAGCTAATGCTAGTTATTGGTAACAATGGTTGTATGGCCTCTAACTTTGTCTAAACAAGCAGACTTACCATCACTGGGTGAGTGCCAGTTTCTTTTCTTGTAAGGACTTTCAGGACTGGATGCAATTTCAGGTGATGACCTTTTGTTCCCAGGTTTGATCCTTGGAGTTGTGGGAGATCTGCTGTCTAGAGCAGCCTGTAACATCTTTCCTGCTCTGTTCAGTGGACTTTCAGGGCTTCCTTTCTCAAAACTCCTAAAAAATTAATTTACAAAAAAAGGTTTTTACTAATCTTTTCTTGTTTCTTTGTTGGAAAGAACACAATGGCATGTTCAGGCACTGACTGAGATTATTTGCCTACAACAATTGCTTCTTACCTAAGGCAACCCATGAGGCCCGATGCCTTTTTCAATCGCACAATACCATCATCATCATTTACATCATGTGAAGTTTGCCCTAAGGTGGCTGTTGTACCAGATACTCCTGCAGGAGGGACTGATACAGGGTCACTCTCAACTGAAGCCACCCTTATGAATGACAGCCCAAATTGCTTGTCTGACCTGAAAGGTTGTCGACAGGTAACTCTTATGCGATCCCACTGACTTCCTAGGGCTTGCTTGGAAAAGGAATCTGAATTAGAAATATTTACCATCAATGAAAAGAGAGCAACACAACCAAGTTTAATATATATATATATATCTAATGTTTCAATTTCATTGGGCATTTAAAAGTTTTACTTTATTTGTAAATATTTTATTTAGACTTCATTAACTATAGGGTACATTTTCCCATGGAAAAGAGTCAGTTAGCCCTTCGTCAGAGGGATGACAAAGGGCTAACACTTGAAACACCAGCTTTTTCACTCTTTACGGTAGCCAATTTACGTTTTCAACTCAGTTGTTAGCAGTAAGTTACCTGCTATACTCTCCCACTGATGCAGCACCACAGTTTCTTTAGAAACTTACCCCCTTTATTCATTTGTAATTTTTTTTACCCTGAAAATATACATACTATAAGATTTTACATCATTAACTAACAGCATAATTTCTTCTAGTTGGCAATATCCATGCTGTAAGAATTTATGCTGTTAACTTATTTTTACTATATATTAATTTATTATGATTATTACACCGACATAGGTAGTAGTGTAAAATGATACAGACTATAGACTGTAATAGTCGCATATTATGTTATTACATATATTCCAGTGTGATAACATTCAGTACAATGTGATCCACTATGATACATACTGTGATTAAACATTCTAACAGTGTGTGTCTTAGTCCAGTGTTTACACTCAGCTGGGGTCATCAGCATGGCTGATGGTAGTAAAGTTAAAAATGGCTTTTCCTGAGGCCACATTGAGTTTCCAACCAAAATCTCAATGAAGGAAGAACCACAGTTACCTGGGGAAAAGATTTAGTAGAGTTTCATGAAGCTGGTTGTAAAAAGCAAATAAAAGTACAAGTATAGCTATTTTTAACAATGTGAAACTAGACAATCACAGGCTTTCAATTTGTCAAGCTTCCCTGTCAGTTTTCTAGGAGCCAGTTATACTCCTGAGTGGAAAGAGGCACTGAGAGTAAAATGTTTTCTCAAGAAGGCAGAGCAATAATCAGTGTACAATAGCAGACATTCTAGCACACTTGACTCTTGGCCAGGGCATCTCCCCTACCTCCCTATCCTCCTTTCTACTGTAAAATGAAATATCTTTTGCATTAAGAACTGAAGACCCTTGGGAAACTTTACAGCAGAAAATTTTCTAGGGTAACTTAGTAAGATATTGCAAAATTATTTGAACTTATTGCTTGTCCTCAAAGCTTAAGATGCAGGCATCGAACATGAAGGGGATTCCAGTATAACAATTTCAGTGTGTAACTCTCTCATGGCGCTTTTAACGGTTACTAGTGAGGCGTTATTTCCCGTGTTTACTTTATATACGATTGCATTTTGACATGGTAAAGGCATACTGTCGAGGGAGTCGGATTACATTTGTAAAACAGTAAAAAGCTCCGGTAAAATTGGCGGACGAAATGAAGACTTCTCAGATATCTATATATCTATCATGTCTTTTTATAGAATATGGAAAATTAAACTAATAGTACGTAGAAAAGCGACAAAAAACCAAAAACGAACAAAGGTGTTACACTTAAGCAAATGAATGCACAAAGAAGCATGAATAGAAGAACAAAGATATGAGGCATCACGTGCATTCCTTGGCTTTATAATCAGCTGAGCTGTTGATACAGCTTAGAAGTTTTTACTGTTATTTCATTGAAGGACTAACACACACCAATGTCGATGTGACTGATATAAGATGCCTTTTCGAGCTGGAATTCAGCTTCCATGCGACCACAATTCGTGTCTTCTTTCGCACATTTCCAAGCGCTCGTGGCATCTGTCTTTCCCTTGCATAAATTTTCAGCTTTAAAGATTGCATCCTATTAAAAAAGAAGCATTGCAATCATTATGAGGAAAAAATAACGAAAAAATTTGCAAAAGCAAAGTTGTTGTTCAACGTACCTCGGTGCTAAAGCGAACTACAAACGTAAACGCTACAGGCGCCATCTTCAAATTTGGCGGGAGAACGAAATACATACCACGTGACCTCAGAACCAGTGCTTTTAGGTAAATTCCTGCTGGTTGGTTGATAATGGTAGACGTTGTGAGGGACAATTTTGAGGATCTTTTTCCAGAGATCAAAGAAGCGATCGAGCAAAGCGCTTTCGTAGGTAAGTAAGAGTTTCCTTAAAGAAACGATCTTGGCTGATAAAGGTTCCTGATAGCGATCTAAACTAAGTATCCGTCAGTCCGATCCATGCTTGGCGGTAACATGAGCCATTATACCAACAAACGTAAGACAGCCAGAACTTTGGATGAAATTGAGCCTAATTCTCCTTGATTGTGGTGCATTAGCCTGCATTGGCAAATAAAAACGCTAGAATGATAGATTTTAAACAACGAGTAGTGAAGGTGTCATCAGCCATTCCCCATTCCCCTCTGGGGGGGGTAGGTGGGTGGGTGCAGGTGGGGGTGTACTGTAGGTAGGGTACCTGTGCAGGAGGGATCTTCCAGATGGAGTGCTTTGCCAAAGCCCTCAACTTTGTCCTCCGAGATAGGGAATTAGTTATAAAAATATCCTCAATTAGGTCTTAATATTAAACATAGTGAAAAACACATCAGAGATCAAGTTGAAACACTGAAACATTTTCTTCTTAAATCATAGCACAACTGCAGACTGATATTAACAATAATTTAAAACCAGACCTGTATGCAAAGAGTTGGCTTGATTATTCATAAATCAGTTTTCGGTTGAAAAATTGTTATATAGCTGATTCAACAGGTATAGTACCATTTAATCATAAAATACTATCATCCATTATTTATTTAATTATAGATTTAATTATTTATTCTATTAGCTATTGATACAGAGTTCACAGGCCTCTATACCACTGATGGTTCTCAGCCAAGGTAAAGCTTTCATTTGTGACATTTTTTTTGATGCCTTGCTGAAAATTTCATATCTTATTCACTTGTTGTTCTCTTACAGTAGTTAAAGATCATCAGAAACAAATTTGTTTCTGTCTGGTGCTCATGCAACAGCAAATTTACTTCTTAGCTCAGTACTGGTTGATTGCTCAAAATTACTATTTACCATCACCTTCCCATGGTATACTCAGTCTGTTAAATTATTCATGATCTATCTTATCTTGTTGAACTGAAATTTGTTTGAAAGATATGCTGTCTGAAGGTTAAGATTTCTGCTTGATTGGGAAACAGATTTTTTTTTTTTGAAACAATGATCATTTATTAACTGGTTTTGTGTTGTTGTGTAGCTTGTTTGATGGTCCTGAAACACGATACAAAAAATTGAAGAAAACTGCTTCACAGTTTCTGATCAGCCAGTTTGGTGAGTTGTTAGTTGTTATTACCAATACATGTTTTTCTTAGCTTGAGATGAAAATGAAATGACTATTGTTTTAAGATTTATTCTTTCCTCAGGATTAACTGCCTTTGTTCAGTCCAAAGATGATTCCAACAGGTATGTTTTTGAAAGGACTTCTAGATTCATACTAATTATTTTTGATCTGGCCCCCTATAAAAATAGCTTTGATAAACTTTAAAGTGAAATTTAAAATATTCTCTGAGCCAAAATATTTTTTTTGTTTGTACACTATTTATACTTCCTCCACTTCCAATGATAACCCTTGTGATGTTTCCCACTCATTTCCAACCTCTTGTTAAATACCATACAGTTTACCATGCTTCAAATTTTTCTATTATCACTGATTTCAAACCTTGACTGCCAGGAAACATCTCCTCTTTCCCTGCAAACAACATGATGATGTGAAGGAAAAAGGGAACATTTACACTAGTGCTACAATCTTATGATCCCTACCCTAGCTTCTTTACTTACCTCCTTTCCCTCCCCCCCTGAGTAGCTCTCAAGTATTGCTACTGTAGGTTTCTTAATTTCCTCTAAATTTCTTTTAAAAATAATGTTGTTTTTGTTTTCTTTTATAGATATGTTGCACATACATATAATTTCTCTTTATTTCCAAATTCATTTGGACCTTTAGATGTCAGATTTCTTTGTCAGGTGACTTTTATCCTTTCATAGTGATAGATCTGATCAATAATTTGCATACTATTATTAGGACAGTTCTGCACAATGTCAGTTCTGTCGTTAATTAATCTAAAGTTTAATTATTGATTTATCCTTAAGGACAGGGCTGTCTTCCTATTGCAAGCCTAAACCAGCAAAGTCTCAGACCATATTTTTCTTTTTTTCAGGCATCAAGTCTGGAATTCTTGTGTCAGCATAACTTTGACTTCAATAAGGTATTCAGTGAGCCTGTTCACAAAATTATTCCATTCTTCCCCATTTATAAACTATTTTGGGCTCAAACCTAAACTAATGATGTTTTAATTTTGTGTCTCATAGTATCAAACTCTCTCCAATTTTTAAGTTTTAACTCCATCAAGTAACATCTTTCAGGCTATCAATAGTCAGGAAATAATTATAAGTTATTACTCTGATCTCTTGTCAGACCAGCAAGTGTTAAAACAAATTTTGTCAATAGACATTTATAATATTATTTATAATTTTGAAGTGAAACAGTTTGTTGTTCCTTGTCCTGTTATTTGTTTATCTATTTATTTATTCAAGGCATATTTGATATTCCATTACCTTTCAGTTTATTTATAATGGAGTTTCCTTCTTAAATAATGACCAGGTAGTGTAAATAACTTATAGCATGCATCTTCCCATGATTTACATGTACCTGTTACACTTTGTTTACCACAAATATATAAGGAACTATGTAGGGTGTATGCAACGTAGCTGTGCGTTTGTTATGTTCTTTTACAGTTGTATTGTTTACATAAGCTATGTGTTAGGGTGATAATTTATGTAGGAGGGGTTCATGTGACCTGCTTGGGAGAACAACGCATGTTTTGAAGTTCGGAACAAAAGTTGGTCTTTTGCGAACACAGGACTAGAATTTACTGCAGTATGCATAGAAATGTGTATGATAGAATCCTCTTGTTGTCTCAACCTGTTGTTTGTGTACCAACACCTTCCCCCCTTCCATGGATATTCACCCTGTGGAGGTTTACTGGGGATTGAAAATTTAAAGCATTTAGGTTAAAAAAAAAGTCAGGAAGTGAGAAAACCAAAGTTGTGTCATCATTGTGGAATTACAGAGGGGTTCAAAGGGGAAGACCTTAAACAAAAGGAATCAACTGCGGGAATGGTATGGATAGTTTCTGGTGTGGATAGTTTCTCTTACCAGCTGACTTATCACATTATGGAAAAGTACCTTTAAATTTTTTTTTCAGTTGTTGCTAGTACAAAAGTTCCACAAAAATCACAATCTTTATGAAAGTTTCCAGTCACAAACCCTAAGGTATTTAACCAATGATATTTTGATAGGTAGGGAAATCCAAAATTACAATTGCTTGCTACTAGTTCTAGTTCTGTTTTCTAGTGGTTAGCTTTTTCATAGTTAAGTTCATGGTTCAAGATAACAAAGTTTGTTGTAAGCAGGTAGCTCTTTAACATGTGGCTCTGAAATTTTGGAATGCTCTTCCCCTCGTCAATGTCTTAAAGCTACCAGGAGTATTGCATCTCATCTAATACCAGTCCATCACAGGGTCCTCAGCATTTTTACAGGCTTCTCTATCAATTCATACTCCTGTTAGAGAAGCACTTTAAGAGTTCCTCCTCACTCCCAAGATCAAAACATCAATTTTCTGCACTATGTCTCATTTTGCTTGATTTTTGCTTTGGGAATTTGGTGTGAAAGAATGCAACATGAAGACCAAGCAAGGAGTGAGACATGAATCTCTTTCTCCTTTGTCTAGCATGCTAGGCACCAAGCACCCAAAACTCCCAGTGAGAGTAACTAATTTATTAATTAGGAAAAAGTGATGTGAATTTACTTTTTCCTGCACAGGATCATAGATGACAATGTTCTGACTGGATACTGTGCAAGGCTGGAGGACTGGATCTTGACAGCACAGGCTGGAGATGAAATTGAATTTAACCTTGGCAGTTGTAAGTTTGAATGCAGATGGAACAGCTCATGCTTGAAAATGATATAAATTGGAGCTTGTTGAGAACTAAAATTGAGCCTGAAATCTGAAAGTTGTAGAGATGTATTTCATAATTCTGGGGTTTGTGTGGAACCAATATACCAGGTTTTTAATCATAGCAGCATAGATTTTTGTTTAGAAATTTTATGAGTCAAGATGATGAAGAGCTAATTTTCTTTCCAATTCCTTAAACCACCTCCCCTCCCCCACATTAGAGGGCTTGATCACAACCTAAAATGTTCAATTATTGTAATATTTCTGTACTCCAAGCAAGTGATTATTAAGTTATTTAATAAATGTTTGTTTAAGTGATTACCTTTATAATCCTTCTAAATAAGGAATCTGACAACTGATGTCAGGTTTATCATCAAAGGTGTTGGTGATCACATCTGTTCTCTGCTGATTTTTATCAGATCAAGCTCAGTATCTTCTTCTGGAGGAAATAAGAACAAGATTTATCAATGTCCACTGCACAATCAAGAGGCAGTATAAGGTAAACAATGTTGGAGGAAAGAGACATTTTACCCCAAGCAGTATGTCTCTTGGGTTGTTGGGCAATAAAGAACAGAGCTGCACACTCCTGATCAATTACCTCTCATAAAGTAGCTATGAAATTCGGATAACAATTTAAAAACCAAAACAATTTTTAGTGACAGACATACCCATAAAACAGACATCTCTATGAAAAATTGGTCCCTGCCATTCTTGTTGAAATTTCTCAGTTATTTTTGTGCAATTTACCTTGTGATCTCTTATGAATTATTTCATTTCCTATTGTGTCTTTCTAGATGCTAATTACAAAACTACCCATAACAAACCTTGAGTCTGATGGAGAGAGAAACACAGATCTAATTTCTCAAGAACAAGAAAAGTAAGGAGGTGATAAAATGATATTATTCACACCTAAGAGCAACTTTGTTGGTGTCACTCAGTAACAATTGTTTGACACATGCAAAAGAGATGTTGAGAGGGATTGAAAAATGAGTATTTTATGAAATCTGTAAATTTTTCTGGAATCAGGCACAAGAATAAGTGTAATCACCTCCCTCCTCTCTCTTTGTCCTATGCTCATTACTCAGGCTTTCCAAAGGAAATGCCCGAGTTGAAATTTTCATTTCATTTTTTTCTTACTGTATTGATTTTTTTATTTATCCATCTTACAATGTTTGTTTTTATCTTGATAGAATCTTGAATGCATTGTTGGGGTTTTCCAAAGTTTTCCAAGTTCTAACATCATGTAAAAAGGTACTTACATTTATTACAGTCTGATGATTGCAAATGGTCTCTCAGTTAGGCTCCAATAAATTTTATAAGAAGCAAACATAAACTAACAAAGATAATACACATGCTCTTATTAGTAAAAAACTTATCATTTTCAGTATTGGTAAACTCTTAGCTATTTTAAAAAGCCATAGTTTGTTTTATCATACTTTGTGATAGATGAATAAATAAATAATGATTAATAGCATTATAGTGTTTGAAGTGACTTGATGTTTATAAAAACTTCTTTTTGATTGAATAATCAGCCTATTGTAGGACACAACGTTTTAACGGACTTGCTGCTAGCATATGAGAATTTTTATGAACATTTGCCAGGTACGAACCTATATTCTTTGGTAATTTTCTTCTCGCTTGTTTTCTTTCTTGTTTCCTTGTTTTCGCTAAGATTTGTGTGTTAAGTATAATTACTTAGGAACAACCTGGGCTTCATGTATTTTTTAACTATTTTGTTAATCATAAATTTTTTTCTACAGAGAGTTTTAAAGATTTTAAACTGAAACTTCACAAAATTTTTCCAGTGGTTTATGACACAAAATTGGTTGCCTTTGAAATTAGTAGGAATCCGGTGAGTACATGACTATTAATTGGTTAGTCGAGAAGTCAGGAAACATTCCATGTATTTTGGTTTAATCAACTGAGTTAATATTGTAAATTAACCACCGCAAAGAGTTTCTAAAGCTGACGTTTCGACCCCGGCGTGTTTTGAATCACATAGTCGTAAAGTCAGAACCAAGGTAATGACAATAGCCAATCAGGCAAAGCAAAAGGTCACAAGACGCCCATGCTTTATCGTTTGAGCTGACAAGATCGGGAACTTAAGAATCATGACGGATGAAACTTATTTGACTTCAGCCTCAGTTACGTTCATTCTTGTTTACTGAATCAGTCCATTTGTTTTGTATTTAGGTCTTTTCACACTGTAACTTTTTTGATGACACAAACTTAGAAAACCTTCACAATTCGCTGTCAAGGTATGGAAAACGTGGTTGGTTTGACAGTCAAGAATACTTAATCGTTTTAAAGCTCGGATAGAACAAGGAGAAGCTATGAGAGTAAGATGAAACTGAAGTGTGGCAGCCTGTATTTGAGGGATAAAAGAGAAGTTTATCCCCTTGTTTATGATGAGATTTGAAATAAATTGCTAGTACCACATAACTAGATCGGGTTCTGCATAGTTGTGACCTATTTTAAGGATTCTGATTCCTTAGGGAATCTTGTTCAAGACGCTGATGGTAAAATAGCATTCCTCTAGACCCTAAAAAAACATACCTTGTTGTACGACATATGATCATTCAAGCCACACGAGGGAGGCTTCCCCCCCCCCCCCCCAAACTTTACCCCAGGTATGTTACTTGATATTGAATGAACATCTTTATTTTTACTTTGTAGTAGTGACGCACAGTACTTTGCCCTTTTCGCACCCTCTGTGGTATTTTCCGAAAAATGTTACAGATACCGTAAGTACATAAGTCACAAAAGCTAATTTATATGCTTATGAGACAGTACTAGAGGCCTAGTAAAGATTTTTTTAAAGAAATCAAGGATGCATACTTTTACAATTGTTTAATGAAACTTAGCTGGAAAATGTTGAAAAACTTCCTGGTGTTCTTTTTTTCCTACTATTTTAGTCGACGAGAAAATGCCTCATGAAGCTGGGTATGACTCATTCCTCTCCGGTTTTGGTAAGTAGTATAACTTTCTTTTAACCGTGCCAGTTGTTGTACAAATCGCGGGAATTCCTACTTTTGAAAGGACAGTGATAAAACGTAGGGAACCCAAGCGCGCACAGTTACTTGAAGGACAAATTTAACTGCTTATGACGCGCTTTGATCTCAAACAATTAACACTACCCTCTAAAGAATTGCAGCAAATTTAGTTAGGAGGTAAAGAAAACTCGTAACCACCTGTCATTATCCAAGTCTAGCAAACGTTGCTGGATTACTTATTTCAGGAACTCAATAGAACAACGTTAAAACAAACAGATGTTGCTAATACTTTTTGTATATCTTAAAGAGTGATGCTTACTGTATTAGTATTTATTCTTCTCAACAGTTTTTCTTCGGATGGCACATATGCTGGCATATATGGGATCAAGGTAAGTGACTCGTTATCGTTCTTGACCAATCATACTGCATTGATAAGGATTCATGGCAGTCTCAAATAGTGTCTTCTGATTGGCTTCCCCTAACATCGTCATCAGTATCACTACTAGTCTCAGAAACAGAGCAATTTTAGGATCTTCAATGTACAAACCCATGTTTTATGATGCTTCTTGTTTAACTGGCATGTCTCCATTTAAGTTTTCTGTTAATCTACAGAAGGTCTCCCGAAGGACCGTTACCATTTTCAAAATTCCTTCGCGTGTTAAAGCCGTACGAGAATCTATTACATTTGAGCAGAGCACAAGTACAATATGTGGTATGTAAGATGGTCTGAACAATCAACATCTCTTTGTAGAAACCTCATCGTTATAGTCATTTCTTATTCTGATTGGTCGCAATTATTCACATGATCAGATCAGTAATAACACCGAACAGTATCTGGCGATAGTATCCTGTCAGTAAAAACCCAGCATGCGACTTATGATTGTAAAGTTTTAAATGCTTTACTCACTGCGATTGCATGTGAGTGAAATTTTGTGCTTAATTTAACCTTCTCACAATGATTGCCGTTAACAAATTCTTACCATCTTTTTACCTAGAACTTAGCTGGTGCGGACACACCCTCTATTCGACCTCAATGGCTTTACGTTACCTCCAAAGAAAAAACCAAGCCACTAATTGCCAGGACAGTAAGTTCTTTTGTTGTCATACCTGATCTGATAACTTCTCTGTAATATTTTCAAATTCCTTTATACAGTGATAAAAATCAAGTTCTACTTTTGGCAAATTGTATCTTTTGACAGTTGGCTCAGGAATTTGCACACTTTAGTTCCGTGGACGTCAAAATTTTAGACTTGCAACACGCACTAGTAGCTGTCCCTCATCGTAGAAAGTGAGTGCTGTGTACTTTTTTCCCTACTTTAAGGCGGTTTTTAAGGGTGAATAGTAATGTTATGCAATCGCTTAAATGTTGTAGTGTAGTGGGAATCTAGCTCAGGGTGTGCATTCGCTGAATTCTGTTCGGGTCCCATTTTGTTCTCCATAAGTCGAGCTTATTCCATGCAAACTGTACATTGCATCATACAGTTTAGGGTATGTCGTTTCCATTTCTCACTTTCTACCATGGGCTACCATGTTGAATATTCCCCATTATTGACAAGCCGTGACGAGGCCAGCTAAGTTGATGGCTCATTTTGTTCTTTTTTTTCTTCTTTGCTTCATTAAAGAATGCCCAGCTGATCACTGACGCCTTAGTTTCAAGTTGCCTTTTTATGTTTCATCAATTTCTTTGTGTTGAATATGTCTGAAAGCTTACCATCGCAGTTAAATTGAGATCACAAGGAATGTATTAAAAAGCGTGGTTCATGGTTGTAGAGTAACCTTGGTAGTTTAAGTACTACCTGCTTTAGCAATCTGTGAATCATGCGCAATATGAGGCTTTTTAATGAATGATCTCATCAAGAGAATTGTTCTGAATTGGATATTGGGCCTCTTTTAGTAATAATTTACATCTGAAATTCATAATCTTGCTTTTTGTCCTCTCTCAGAGCAAGAGAGGTCTTGCGTACATTTCGACACCACAAAACGCTCAGTGTAAGGCAGTACCACCCACTTTTAGATTCACCTGAGATGAAGGTGGCTCTGTGGTAAGTGAAGCTTGTTCGAAGATGACGTATGTTTAGAGCTCTTTTTGTTTCGACAATTATTTATTAGCAATTATTCTTCAAAACATTTCTCCTCTTCAGGAGGAAATAAGAGAAAAGAAAATTCGTATTTTCAAAACATAAGACTCATATGAAACTTGAGTTTGAAAAACCGTCCAACTGACATCGTATTACTGGGGTATAAGAGCAAGTTTTCTTTTGCAGGAAGGGGACGGAAACTTAAGTCGGATTTTTTTCCACTTATACCCGACAGTTTATACTTATCCAAAAACTGTCAAGATCAAAGACTTCTCTGCTCATGTATGCCATTTTTCCTTACCCTTGAACTACCAGAGATGACCAATAAGGAATTTGTCGTTCCAATATCAACACTTTTGCGAGAGGAAATGTGATGGGAAGAAAAAAGAAAACAACGAGTCAGAGTATATCATTTGACTTAAAACCAAATTCTCCGAGCTGAAATCAGAAGAACTGTCCTGCAGACAGTACAGAGAATTTATACTGAGGTAGTGAGATTAAAGTGACTTGACAAGGAAAACTCCCTTGTGAAAATTCAGCGGAATTTATTTCTTTTGCCTTGTAGACCAAAATATACAGTACCATCACAATTCTTCTTGGAACAGTACAACCCTCGGACTTTTGAAACTCAAAAAGATCTGAATGAAATTAGACTCGAATCTGAATGCAGCACACGTATGACGGCCGGGGTACTTTTTTAGTTTCAGCTGTTGATATTTTTGTCCGGTGCATAGATGATGCATTAGATGGTCAATGTTTTTGTTTACACAAAAGTGTTTTATATCTGTCATTTGTACCATGATTTATGCACGCCATTTGCTTTGTTCTTGGTTTGCCAGGTGTGGCGGAACTGCTGTGATCTTTTCGGCTGTTGCGGTGTTTCTGTGGAAATCGTGGACATAGTTAATTTATTTTACCAGTCAGAAACAAGTTATCACTGAAATTCTGTTAATTTGGTCTGTTTCTTTTTTATTTTATTCTAATGTAAAGTAAATAAATTGCGGACACAGCTAATAAAATTCGCCAACTGAAGTTTCTTCTCTTCTCTCTTTTAAATTTTTTTTCTTATCCATTAAGCTAATGTGGCATTCACACGCAAGGTTTTTTTAATCATCGATCGTCTTCTTTTAACTTTAACAGTTATTACTGCGTTTATTCATTTTGAAGGATGAAAATCCCGGTTTTTCAGGTGTATTTCCATCTTTCTAATTTGAATTTGCTTCTTGTTATTAAATTTCTTACGATATTTATGAGGTATCGTTATTACAACTGTAGTGACCTTATTGTTACAAACGAAGGCACGTAGCGGTATAAAACAAATTCATTTGCCTTCTGCAGGGTCCTGATTCTCGTATTGTTTGCCTGTTGTTTACACAATAAAGGTCACTTTGAGGAGTCAGGTAGACTTATCGTTCATCTTTTGCTAATACAAGACCAACATACGCCTTTCCATGCATGAAAGAAACAAGTTACTACATCTTCGCTCAGGTGATCGACTTCTTTTCAAGTCAAGGCGACATAATTTTTGAAGTGTGAATTAACGGCGAAGAATACTGAAATTGCTTAAGCCTTGCGCAAACAATGTCACTACAAAATGGTTGTAATTGTGTCCTTTAAAACATAGCTACAGCAATTTCTTTGTCATTGTTGATCAGTGCTTAGTGGAGCCAATCAACGCACCGATAACGAAGTCACTCAAGAGAAAAATCAATAATTTAACACCCCTACGAGAGTTTGATCGGCGTATTAACATAAAATGTGTTGGTCTGTTTCTACGACTGAAAACGATGGAGGCGCTCAGTGAAGAAGTCGACGATGACAGCGACGTCGCAGAAAATCGCCTGCTAAAAACCGAAGGTTCTGGCTGTGTTTGTAGCAAGGGGTGGGAAAAAGAATTCATTTGCGGATGGGCGCCGTCGTTTGAGCGAAAAATTTCACGGAAGCCAACGAAACACGCGTCGTTAAGCAACACGCGTAAAGATGGAAAATTACCGCGGGCAGAATGTGGATTTGTTTTTCGACATTATGAGAAAACTAGTCGCTATATCGAGCAGTACCGAGAAAATCACAGCAGTGCCTTTCTGGAACGTGGAGAGGAATGGAGGCCAGTATTAGGAGTTGATGTTCCAGATCCTTACCTGCCTAAGGTCGGGAGTTCGAGGTAAGGTTTGTTGACATGATTTTTTTAATTGTTTATGTGGAGCCTTATCTGGTTTAAGCCCCATTGTACCAGTGGGAAAATTCCTTCTTAAAGGGAAATATAATGCGGCCAAAATGACTCCAAAATTTGTCAAACTTTCAGAGTATAACACGCCTTTATATTTTTTCTTAAAAAAAAACCTGAAAATTTCGATAAGTTTCTCAATGTTGGTAGGCATGGTTAGCTCGCCTTTGGTATATAAATAGACACTGACAAGTTGATTGAAATTATATGACATTTGTTGTTTGAGGAAACTACCTTCTGAACTGAGTAGACTGCAAAGCAAACCACAAAAATTTTATCCGTTGTTTTCCTCGGAAGAATTTATTTTGAAGTTGCGAAACGCGGTTGAATACATAAATAACAACATATTGTCACTGCGCGAAACCTCGTGTTAGACATTTTCTTCTGTACACTCGTATTTTCACGCTAATATGTTTATTCGCTGGTTAACATTTTGCGCTGATTTTGCCCAAGGGGCTGGTAGGTGATTAGACACTACAATACCTGTAAACCGTATTTTAATTTTTTTTTTCCACAAGTATAGTTTTCTTACTTATTTTTCATGGCGATCTTTATCTGATAAGGTACTTAATGGTGCATCCGTCGGTAAATATTACGAGTTATGAATGTCGTGTTTACTGTCACGTAAAAGGGGGCAAAACTGCTTTAAAATGATTACTTTATTTAAGGACGTCTTCCTCTTTATGATCACTACTGTTAGGCGTCATATTTCATTGCTTGATCTTGCAAGCACGTACTTAGGGTTATATTCAGCTCATATGTGCAATACAACCTATTTCATAATTTCATTCATTTCATTTCAAAACGTGTTTCCGCCTCTTCTTTTCCGATGTGCTCCCCTTAGAAATTAAGGGTAGGATGAAAAGTTTTCCTTAAATTTTTTACTTTTTTTCTAGTCCTCTCGATAAATGCGTAAATAAACTGAAGCAAGTTCACATATGATACTGACTCGCAAAACTGCTGTAGTTCATCCTAGGTTCATTCTAATACGAAGAGACACCAAGTATTAGTACTACCTTAGGACGGAATACTAGTCCATCGCGAATTAACCTCTGAATTTTTCCAGGTTTCCCTGTCTGTCCACAGACTCTCTATTTTCACATAGATCGTCGTCCAGAGCACGAGCCAAATAAGAACCGCGGTTTTTTTTTTTTTTTTTCACGAACGCGAACAAGTACGAAAGTGGGTGGGAGAAAAATAAAGTGGCTCTCGCGCTCTGCACACGTTCCTATGTGTTCGCTCTGCGATTTCTCTTTAACTCCCAAGATCTGATTGTTAATTCTCCCCTCTAGCTGCTACACATTTCCTTGTAAATTAGCCATAAGAATTTGGTGCTAGATCAAGATAGCAGCTTCTCCCTGATAGGTTTAAATATTCTCATTCCTGTTCGCTGAATAATGTATGGATATTATAGGGAGAAGTTTCATGTTAATCACTTGTGGGAGTTAAAGGGTTAAGGTGTGAAAAGACTGGTGTACTATAGTTATATATATTGTTCTGGTTGGCAAGTAGCACTGTGAAATAGAAAGCTCCTCGCCTAGTCTACCCTCAGATCACCAAAGTACACTCGCTCTTTTTCGATTTACTAGTCGGTTATGTTTATTTCTTCTCTGCAGCTTTTTCACCAGCTGCAAAGATATGGATAATTAATGTCGCAATCTACGCTAAGTCCGTATATTGCGCCTCGGATATTGAGTAGTACGTTTTTGCGTCATCACATCACACACGTTTTTCTGGCTTATACAAGCAAATAATTTCACTTAATTGATCACACCTCACATAGTGTGTAACCATTCTATGCGCCCTACAGAACGAAAGAGAACGAGATAGTATCATACACAATAAGGTATAGGATATATTTATCCTTCACATTTTCTTTTTTTCCCATTAGTTGCGATAATTTTCCTTAAGAATTATTCGTCGAATTCGGCTATAAATCACGGTACAATCATGTTAGCTTGAAACTTATTTCTATCGGTAATGAGTGCGGAAATGTGTTGATCTTCTAGGAGTTGTAGCGTTGATGCATTAAGGACGTGGCCTATCAGATATGTTTGCTTCTGGTCATAAGGTTGTTCGCACCTAATTGTTGTAACTTTTGGTCATTCAAACGTGACTTCCACATTCGTGATCTCAACGCTGAGGAAAATATACTATAAATTATTGAGTCTAATAAGATTCCTTATCAGTCATGTTGTTATTATCACTTCAGCAAAACTGTTTTTGACCGGGTGAAGTTCATTGAGGCCATGTCAGACTACTACAAAGTTGCGGCTATGAGGAGGTAAGAAATTTATGGAGATTAGGAGGGGGGGCGCTTAACATCAGGAATTGTGTGCAGATGCTCCGTCCGAGATATGTACTATTTTCAGGCTTCTGGGATATGAAAAGGATGGGGATCTCACGAGTTTTGTTTCTGAAAAATAAAGAGAAAAACCATCGCTTGATGATAAGTGTTTGAAGGGTCCTAACTTTTGATCAATTTAAGTATCTTTGGAAGTTACTCAAGAGCGAGAAATAATTTTTTTTGTCTAGATCATGTGTGATCACAGTCTCAATACTTAAATCTTACGTTCGAATTTCCTTCTTCCCTATTTGTAGTGATTTGCAAAAGATCTGTCTCACTGGAAAAAGGCAAGAGAGCGGCGATCACAAAGCAGTGCTGAACAGTGACACCGAGTTGAATAGTGAAAGTTTACCGTTCATTGTTACTGCTTCAAATGGAAAGAAAGTTTCCCAAAAACTTGGAAGAAGAAGAAGACAGAGCACTTCTTCAGAAGGAGACAAACCAGATAGTGTAAAAAATCGCCAAGATGTAATCCGAACCGCGCCCGAATTAGCACAAGATCCCATTCTTCCCTGTATGCCTTCCATTCCCGACCTTCCGCATAAAGTGGACGACAAACTGATTTCACACCCGGTCAAACATACACCAGAGGACGATTCGAAACGATTTCACAAGGAACGAATCCGGCTTCCAAAGTTTCAATGGACGGAATGTCACGTGAAAAATAACCGCATAGCAACAGAGAAAACTGCTGTGCCTGTTAAAGTGGAAATGAAGGAGAAACCGGTGGAAGAAGCGTTACAGAGTAGTGATAGCGATGAGAACGCTATAATCACAGCTCAGAAGTTTAATTCGAAAGGAAATCTGCATATAGGAGGTTTCGTGCTAACCGCACCAAGCTCGAAACCGAAGCCAGCGCACGTTACAGTTGGAAAGTGTGAAATATTTAGCTCCACGAACTCGTCAGGTGGAGAGCGTGTCCGCAAATCTTACGAAACTGCAAGAAAACTTCCATGTGAAACCGCATTTATTCGGGTTTTAGGTCATCAAACAGGCCCTCCGCCAAAAAGTACAAGTAAAAACGAATCCAAGGATGCTAGTAAAGAAAGACCGAATACAAAGGACAGAGCTCTCATGAACCAAAATTTGCCGATTCAATACTTGACTCGATTTGGCAGACGGAAATTTCATCATGTTTTGGAGGCGCGTTCGTTTAAACCTTCGGAAAAGAAACTTGGAGCCCCAGCGCTAGCACATTTTCATCACTGATTGAAGGAGGTAGTATACTCAGGGAAAAGGAACGACATGACTCTGAATAAATCTGCCAAATAGTGCAGGGACCTGAGAGCAGTTCAATCTCCATTTTATCCCTATCGCCGTTTAACTCAAGCGTAGTCCGTCAATAGAACCTCTATCGCAGCTTAAGCTAAAAATGAGAAATTTAATATTTTCATAACACCATTAGAGTATCTCCGTTTTTACGCCACTCACCAGGGGCTTAATTAATCACATTCTACCAAAATGAAAATGAAGGGCAGAGATGAAGGTTGGAAAATTTACTACGAGTCAAAACGTCGTCATTTTTCTTATGAAGTATTCGCCAGTTTTCAAAAAGTTTTATGGTTGGTATCTGTCAAACTTGGAACATAAAAACTTATGTTCCCTGTGGGTGATTTTACAATATTTTTTAACCAGTGAGCTATTCGCCTGTTCACGATTGTTTGGGGTGGGGGATAGCGTTATGCACCGGGCATAAATCGCTTAAACTCTCCGCCACATCTTCGGGGAAGGAGGTCCAGGGAAGAAATTGATATTAAAAGAATAAAAAATTTAACAAGCTTGAAAATAACTCTCTATCTGTTATCGTATTTATTTATAACGGAGATGTAATATAAGTACAAAAAATTTTCATTTCAAGTGTTTTGGAAAACAAGCATATAATTTAAGTGGAATTATAACTGAAGTGGAAGGTATTTGACTCGTCTTTTCCACTATGTGAAGAAGAACAGACATAACACTAGTCATAAAAGTTGTGGTTTGGGGTTCATTCAAGATCTCTTATTTTGTTTAATATTTAGTGATGTTTAAATAAAATTTTAAGTTGAGAAATTGTGCCTGTTGTGTTGTGTTCAAGTGTATACACATGAATAAGGAGGGTAACTTCATGAAGAAACTGTGGTGCGGCGTCAGTTGGAATAAGTTGGTTTTATCAGTAGCATGCGCAAGCTTTGCCCCAGGGTCTGCTCGATACACACAACTTTCCCCAGTTCCCTGCTCCTTAGAGTAAACATGGTGGACATTCGCATGTTGTTCACTTTGTGATGCAGATTAGTCTTTGGGCAGCTTTTGTTCTCGTTCATAGCTGTTGTTTCTTTAATCTAACTTGATGACACATTAGAAGCCAGCCTCTATTGTAATTTGCTGTCAGAGATCGTTTGGAATCACTATTCAAAGAATGTGGCTGAAAAAGGTCATCAAACTATCCTGAGCGTTTGGAAAATAACGGTTGTTATGGTACACCGCAGCTGCGTGTGAACTAAACTATCTGGGAAAAAGCAAGATCGCTGAATACCTCGATGTTGTCGGTATAAAGAAACGGAAATATCACCATTGCCTGCGACCTGTAAGCTTATTTCATTGAACGGTTGCTAAGTGAGGCTCTTGCACAATCGTGATCCACCAAAAGTTTCGGAACAACCAAGTGGTTTTCTCGGCGAAAATATTGGTTTGAACCAGTTGTACTTTACAAGAATTAATGAATACGTTAATGCTTTTATCTAGACCATTGAGAACTGATTTGTTAAGTACTCTTGAGTAAATTGTATTTACATACACAATGAACTCCTCGCGTCAAACAACTCAATATTCCGACGTTTAGATGCATTTTTAAAGATTGATTACTAGTTATTCTGTTTGTGGTTATTGGATTTGTGTTTCCAAACGGTGAAAACCTTTGAAAAAAGCCGACTAACATTTTTCTACAATGTCACGAATGAGGACTGGTTTGAGGCCAACAGTACCCACGAGACATTCTCCAACTAAATTTCCCCCTGTTAGCAATGGTTTGAGGTCAAGCTCTTTACCAGGGAGTGCTAACAGTAGAGAACCAGAGTGGGCCAATGATATGGTGAGAGGGATTCAATTAAAAACAGCATCTAAGACACCTTTGGTGGCAGCCCATTCTCATAGAAAAACTCCAGTAGGCCTAGAGGAGGTTAAAGCAACTACCTCAGTAAAACAACATGGGGAAATGACATTTTCCAGTTCACAGCAAAGTATGCGGGAAAGTGCCAAGGATAAAGAAATTGAGGTAAACTATGCACCATTCATCATTTATTAATTGGGGGGTGGGGGGGGGGGAGGGGAGAGAGTGGAGGACTGATACACAGCTATCTGGGTTGCAAGCTTCTATGGGGGCACAAGGGCTTATTTCCCAAAAAAGTCTTGATAAGAGACTTTCTCTCTGCCTTGTCGGCTCTAAAGAATACATTCTCCCTGAGGTTTTTGAGAATAAGGTAAATAATACTCTTGGACATTTTCACACAGTAAATATATGCTTAACAAATTATTGCTGGTTTTGCACCAATGTTGAGAAACTATCCATAATAGTACTTTAAGAGTGTATCTTGGCATGAGAGAATATCAGGCTGATTAAAACTCCAAACAAACAAACTGTAATGCTTTTGTTTTGTAAACAGATAGCAATGTTAAATCTTTTTTTCTTCAAAGTATCACTTTATTGTAAATTAAATTGATAAGCAAAGGTAATCTTAATTGCTGTGTTTTTTATGAGTATCAATTTTGGTACTTTCATCTTTTCCAGAAACTGAAGTTAAAAATCTTATCACTTCAAAAGCTCATCGAGCAGCTGCGTGCTGAAATAAAGGAGAAAACCCATAAAATAACAGAATTGGAGGAGAAGCTCAAATCACAGGTAAAGGCTTCACTTAATACCTGGTAAGAGTCAGAAGGATAGGTTAGGAAAGATGTTTAACATTTGTTTAGAGCATGGAATAATGACAAATGTGAGTCCTTTTCATAGTTTTTACCAACTTCAGACATGATGATCAGGTGGTTTACTAGCTGATTAGCATAGATCTCAATGGTGAGATACATCATTTACTGGGGAAAAAAGGAGAATGCTTCATCCAAGGGGGACATAAATATATTCAAGACTTTGTTTTGGTCAGAAAACAAATGAATGTTTCTTTACTGTTGTTAGTTTTTGAACTTTGTACAGTAATGTTTCAGTTTTTGTTTTTTGTTCTGCCAAAATGACAGAAATGAAAGTTAAACAGAATATCTAGAGGGTCACCTTTACATTCAATGTATCACAAAATGCTGGATGAATACTATTTTCCTTACTTAAAAAGAGACTACCTTGTTCTCTGTGTTAGATGATTTAGAGGCCTATTCTCTTCCCTTATTGACCTTCATGGTGACAGTTATAATGAAAGTGATGATATTTACTGTACTGTGATGACATTTACTGTAATGTAACGATATTTACTCTTGTTTCATTGATAGGAAGCTGAGTTTGAAGAAAAGATCAACAAAGTAAAAGCCATTATCAGTGAAAAGGAGAAAGAACTCAATGAGAAGACAAAAGTTATAAAAAACAAAGATTTAGCAATTAATGAACTGAAAGACAGCTTTCAGAAAGAAAAGGAAGAGATTACAAAACAAGTAAGAATAAAAACATTCTTAAAGTATAAATCATAATTACAGAATGTTAGTGGCTTATTGTGTGCTTTTTTCACAGTACGAACTTGAATTAAACAAGTTGAAAGAGCAACATCTTCAGGAGCTCACTGAGCGTGATGGCAAGATGAAAATCTTAAAGACGCACATGGCTGATGCTCTTAAGGATAATTCCCGGTATTTAATTTGCAATTTTTGCCTATAATTATGTAAATCTTTGGACTTCAACAAAAACTAATTTGTTTATAATTTTGAGGTTTTCTTTCTCGCTGGTGTTGGCTTTGCAATTTATTTAATTACAATCTTGATGTTTTACTTCACAGGGAGAGGCAAGTACAGCTTGAAGAACTCACAAAGGAGCTTAAAAGAGTTACGGAAGAAACTGATGTGTTGAAATCCAAACTGCAGTCAATGAAATCATCAAATCAGGTACTTGGTGGATTCTTTTATGCCCTTTATTATTGTCTTCAACCCTTTCACTCCCACAAGTGACCAAGACAGAATTTCTCCTTACAATATCAATACAATATCAAGCAGGCAGGTGATGAGAATAGAGAAAAATATCAATCATGGGATTATTAGTTGATCCAATACCAAATTCTCTGAACTAACATCATAAGAATTGTATGGCAGATATTAAGGAGAATAACTAATTAGATCTTGGGAGTGAAAGGGTTAAGCTAGAGATGATTGTAGTTTTTTAATAATAAATAATAATTATGGTTTAATCATTATCCCCTTCATTATTAGTTATATTTTGATTATGGTATAATTAACAAACAGATTCCATGTTACCATATGTATGTTCAGTAAGAGATCACAGAGAAGTGAAAATGTGGTAAGATTAAAAAAAATAGCATGCAAGATGTAGCCAAGTATGACACTGATTGTACAGACCTATTGCAACATGGAATGTATAAATGTTTTATGTGATAAACAAGCAAAATTTTGTAAATGGTGACATCATTTTTGTGACTCTCCTCCAATTGATCATTAGTAAGAACCCATAAAAATACATGACTTGTATAACTCAGCTCATGTATGGAGGTACCAAAATCACCAAATTTTTTTCTCCCTCCAGACCATCTATTATTTCTTTATTTCACACTGGAAGTCAAACATAAGCTACCATATTCTAATTAAACTGCATTTTATCACTCTTTTGTTGTAAGTTATGAATTGCTGTTTTTCTGTCTTTTAGGGCAAGTGTCCAAACTGTTTTGTAATGGAGAGACAACTCCAATCAAAAATTCTTGAACTGAGAGACAAAGAAGTTGTAACCATTGAGATGCAGCAGTTGTGTGCAAAAATGGAACAGCAACTTGTGCAACAGGTAGATATTAGGATTACCTCCAGGTGTACATTGCAAAGCAACATCCATAGAGTTGTTTCATTGGCATAGTTGTTCAATTTTGCCTCAAATAATAATTATTTTAAAACATTCTATTTACAAAGTTATTACCAATAATTTGATTCACATTATTTCTCTCATTCAAATAGGACCAACTTTTGCGTCAATGGGCAAAAAATAAAGGAAAGCCAGTCAGGTGATAAATGAGGTGAGATTTTCTTTCTTGGTCGGCCTGCCTTAGACATTCTGTATGTAAATGCTAGAAGTCAAAATAAATGTTACAAAAGTGATAGATAAATATTATCCTAATGGTAGAAATGTGTGTCACATATGAATCTAGTAGGTGACTTAAGAAAACTCTCAGTGGTGAGGTGAAGCATGTGATTTGCATTGGTATGTTCAGGAATAGGGCCATTTCAAAGTTACAAAATGCAAGCCAAAAAAAAAAAACATGCACCAAAGGTCAATTGGTTTTAAGCACTTGAGAAGAAACACCATGGACCTACTGTCGTCAATTTGCCTCAAACTACTCACTTTGGTTTTTTCTATTTTTTTCTTAACAGATAGCATGCATCTGAAATAAATACAATTATTGACTACTTAGAAAATTTGATTGCCTATGAAAATATTTATACCCATACGGTAGCTTTTTATTTAATTAAGCAATGTATAATTTTAGGTGTGTAATGTAAAAGCTCTTTATAACTTACACTAGCATTAAGTCTTTTGAGATTGTAACCTCTCAAATACCTATCAGAGACTTAGCTTGGGAAATTGGCTATCACTTGCAAGGCATAATGTAGACATAACTTAAGCCAATTTCCAACTTAATTTCAGTCTGTTAATAACAGGAAGTCTCTAAAACAAAGGGTTAATCTTTGTCCAGCCTTGTCTTTTTTATTGTCATCAAGATCCCACAAAAACCACTACCTATAAAATATGCAGGATAACTTAATCACTTTTTTAAAAGGATATTATATTTTCTTCAAAGATAAGCTGTTAATTTACTTTATGATATTTATATTCTGCAAAGATGATTCTTGGGTGAAAAAGTGTAAAATATGTTTTTTTTAATTTATTTCAATAATACCAAAAAAGGAAAGACCAAATAAGGATAATATTTTGAGGAAAATTTTTTCAAGATGGTCATCCCTCACCATCCTTGAGTTATGGGGTAGGTTTGTCATATGTATATATAAATATATATATATTGGTAAAAAAATGTTTTGACAGTGTCTGGGACTTGGGAATCTGTGTGTATTAAATTGCATGAATCAGTGATAAATCTGAAGGATTAATGGGACTAGGTTGAGGCCTTGTGCAAGTCAGACAATATGTCTGATACATTCACTGTTGATGAAGTTGATCCTCATGGCATAAAAGAGGTCAGCTATTTTCATTGCTATCAGAAACTTCTTAAGTTGAGGTGCACTAAGAGCTTTAGGAGTGGTATTAAAGGGATTATTTATAAGATCAGTGTAAAATAGTCTGCAAGATTGACAATAAAACACAGGTTTTTGTCGGTGCTTCTCTTAGTTTGTGTTTAGTGCAACACCTAATGGTTTTTCTAACTTTCAAATTTATTAAAAGTGTAAACTTTGTTTCAATAACATGATTTACATGAAAAAAAGGTTTAAATTGTTTGGCTATTTTAAGCTGTTTTTGACTGTCATTTGTGTTAAGGCAATATGAACAAACTCAGAACAAAATTGCCTCTCCAGTTGACAGCTGGTAAGCAAAACAGAACTCTGGGAAATGAGAGTTTATTCTATTCAATTAAAAATCTGCAGTGGTCCAATCCCTTCAAAAAACGGATGACTGTGATTTTCTTTCATTCAGGGCTCCTTTAAGCAGGTAATTTGTTTACCCACGCTTTGCGGCTCAAGTGCGTTCCTATGGTAACAGTTATTGTGTTATCGCATATCGCATGTGAGAATTTGTCATCCTTTTGTGATAAGTTGTTCATCGTTCTTTGTACTTAGAATTCCTAATTGCAGAGGTAACGTGACAAATCTTTTGTGCCTTTGTCAACAGACAGGGTAAGATCGCTTTTTAAATTTTATTTCGTCTCGAGGGAGTGATTGATTTAGCGCTTAAAACTCTAGGTGCAAATTGCGTTTCCTTTTCTGATTTTTCTCTATTCACTGAGGTGAATGTTTTGCTATCTGTAATCACTTTTCAGGAGATTTTGTACTGGGCTCCAACATTCTAGCAGAAGGAGTCAGTCTCTAAGGTGATAGACCCAAAGGAGGTTTTGGGTACAGCCGATGGGCAATCTTTTAGGACGAAACTTTTCAGGAGGACAGTTTGCGAGGATCTGCTTGGGTGCCTCAGTCACGCTTTCGGAACACAATTTTGACGTCAATTCCAACTCAAGCAGAGAATTTTAGACTCGACAAGTAAAGTAAACGGATCACTTAACTTCGACTTACACAGTAAAAACATAAGATAGTAGCCCTAGGCCATATAAACACTTGACGTTGTGATACACCACTATCGGTCACTGAACAGGAGGATCGTATTTCAGTAACGACCGTGCTTCTAATAATCTCACGTTGAAATCTTCCCAGTTAGTTTGTGGTGAGAATTTGATTTTCTTCCCGTGTTTAATGGCCCGTACTAATTATTATAATCATCGTTGAAGTGGAATGGCTAAGAGCCATGAGATGGAACAGTTAAATTCTGACGATTATCGCAGAAATCGCGGCGAGTTGAACCCAAACTCTGCGGAGGATAGATCACCTCCCTTTTATGACTCGGACTCTCCAAGCGGTACTCCTTCGGTTAACAGGTAAGTTAATTCAATTTTGGACAAGTCTATGTGCTAACTGAAAACATGTTTATTAAGTAATCGTTTAAAAATCACTGCCCTCCCAGTTTTTATTTGCGATCGATCTTGTACTTTTTAGGATAATACAAATTTTTTTCTTAATCACAGACATTTTTTGCCTGCAGGATTTTCTATGAAATTTACCTAGTTGTTTGTTTTATCAAATGCAATCGAAAACTTATAGTTTCATATTCTAATAGAGGCTTCTGTTTGCAGCTGCCAAAGCTACTGTCGTGTTTATCGAGAAAAGATTACTTGCGCTGTGAAAAAACAGCTGGATTTCCTCTCAACAATGTCGCCTCCCAAAACTAGAATTCAAAGGCTAATTTTAGTACAGCCAATAGTCCACTCTTTTATTCACCTTTCTATGAGCAGGAAATGAAGCAAATGGATCAAAGCAAAGAAAATTAGTAATTTATTCAAAGAACTAAAGCCTCATTTAAAAATCATTAAAGTTGCAAAAATATTAAGTCAGAAAACAACGTTGTTTACATTTGCTCCGACAATTTTTTTCTCAGTGCTGCAAGCCAATCAACGTCAGCGAGGTCATCTCGCTCTTCAACACTGGGTTCTGGGTTATCAACTCGCTCAGCAACAACTACAGGAAGCGATGGCGAAATTGAAGCCTTAGATAACGTTAGAGTCGTAGCAAGGTGGGTAAATTAAGTTTGGATGCTAGGTGTTTGTTTACTTTTCGGTGATAGCCCTTGTCATATTTCGTGACCATCCCACTTGCGTTCGATTTAGTTAATTACAGCGGACCATCAAATTTTTCGACAGCTGCCCTCAAAGCTCGCAAAGTTCAGTTTAGTTTTGATTTTAATCATAATTTTAATCTTACAAAGATGATGACAATGACTACATGTATTTAATGGATGATCTTTCGGCACGATTATCCAGTCCACCATATGAATTTTGCTTTTGACTATTACTTCTAATCAGGTTGATGATAACTTTGAAAATACACATCCCTTTTTCTAGATTTTGTTGGTACTTCTCTAGCCATTTTCCGGAAAATTAAATAAAGTTGCATGATTTTGGGCTCAAAAGAAAGAATATCACAAGAGATGGTAAATGGTCCTACATGAAAAGTCCATGTGAAAACTCACGAGTCTTGCAGATGCTAGTTTTTTTTAAAAATTAAATTATTCTTTCCCTAAGTTAAATTTAAGTGCTGTGGTTGGTAGAGAAAAAAAGATGCAAAGCTTTCTATTAATTACCCCAAGCATGAATACTTTAATATTTGCCATTAAAAAATCATTTAATCACTACTAAGGTGGTTGAATCCCTCATAAACAAACTTCATTATCTTCAGGGAATGCTCACATCAGGGTATTCATATATGAATAATTGTGTTTAGTTTGCAAGAAAAAAAGATGTTTTGTGTTTACCCATTTTCCCATTTTGGGCTTGTAGCTGTGTGAACCTAATTGATTTGCTATTTTACGTAGTCATTAGCCATTTTTATGCAAAATCTTAATTGCCAAATACCTGAAAGTAAACACTTAGGTCCCTAGATTTAATCTAAGGCTTTGCACTAAATTGAATTTTGAACTATTTTGTTTTGATGTCATTGCCCTTTGTTCAGAATGACAACATTTTCATTAAGTTCTACATTTATGTTAACTTTCCCAGATTATCCAAGAGCCTCCTGGATACAAAACTAATTTTACGGTCTCCAAAACAGTTTACTACAACTCTTATCTTCCATTAATTTTTTTTTTCTTGAGAAGGTGTAAAACATTTAAATTTAGTCTCTTTTCAAACAAATATAGGATCTTAGTTAAGGAATTATTGTATATTAATCTTGGGATTATGAAACAACACATACATTAGTAGTAAGTTGTGGAGAGAGACTGGGCGTAAGCAATCAACTAAGATTAAAAATTTTTAGGGGCCAGAGGAGGTGTGATCCAAAATCAGAAATCTCTAGATTGAAAGGTTGGCTTCTCTGTAACTGACCAAATAAATCTCTGAAATCTCTTGTTTGGCTATCATTAGAGCACGTCCTTTGAATCTTGCTGAGAGAGAAAGAGGGGATAAAAATGTCTTGAAGCTGCCTGGGGATGGAGCTGTTTGGGTTAGTTGACCAATTATTATATATTGTTATTTTAAGTTTATAATGGAGTTAAACATTGTAACTGATATCAAGTATCATTAGAGTTATTCTCAGTGGGGGGGTCATTTGTTTTTCCTTTCTTGGGGGAAGTGGTCAATTTCCATTTGAAGGGCAGATTACCAATGTAGGTCTCTGAGAATTCAAATGTTGAAGTTGAAACAAGCAACAATAGATTTTCCTTTGGATAACATAATATTTTCTGATTAGTTTAATTACAAAGAAGTCCACCCCACCTCCTGTAGACCATTAGCTTATTCTGGAATTTTACTTTGTGCCATAGGTTTTCAAAAGATTATTGTTAAATACTGTACAGTACATCCTGAATTGTAAAATTGTCATATGATAAGATATGACCTATGTCAAGAGATTTCTAGGCCAATTTCTTGTCTTTTGATTCTTATTTGGTGCAGATTGATAACAGTTTTGGTCAGATCAAGCCTTTTACCTTCAATGCAGCTTTTGGAGAAGAAACCTCTCAGCAAGACATGTTTAAAGGGTGTGGCATTAAACATTTGGTTGAGATGTCTGTGCAGGGGTTTGTATTAATTTGTTTAATACTTTAGATACAAAACATGATCAGCTGAATTATACACCCCTTTTGATTGATCAAAAGTGATCTGTTTGGGAACGGACACCCAATTTATAGAACAAATAGATTTAATGATGCCTTGCATCTATTCAGTAATATATCACTAAGGATTTCAAATTATTGACATGCTCAGCTATACCTTGTGTGCACCTTTTTTGTTCTTACCACATTTAAAGGTCATCTGATCAATAACTGAACATATGCACTGCAATATAAATCATATTTGTTTCATAGATATCAATATATCATATATATACTGCTCCTACAATTTCTTAACTTTATCTACAACAGAATTCCTTAAGTTTATTTGTAACATTAGCTGATAATCCCATTTGTAAATGAGCATTGTTCACTATATAAATGCTTATAGACATTGATGTGTAAAAAAAAGGAAAGATTGGCAGAGGGGAAGGCAAGTTGAGATAATCTATATATTGATTTCAAATATTAGTTTCTCTTTTCCCAAAAGATATTCCTGTACAGCCTTTGCTTATGGTCAGACTGGCTCAGGGAAAACATATACAATCACTGGACCACTTAATCAGGTAACCGTGCAGCACATGATATGAATTCAGTTTTGAGATTCCCATTACTCTTATCTTCAAACTTCTTCCTAACAATGTTGCCTTGTGTGTTCAGAAGTGGATAATTTTTCATCTAAAATTGTAGTCAAGTTCTGTAATGTGCAATACTGAGCCAAAAGCAATGGTAATGCATTAAATGTACTTTATGTTTTGTTTAACACAACAGGAAGATACTGCACACATGGATAGTTTCATTCCAGATCCAGACATGCAAGGGCTGATAGAAAGGTTTGTGTGACAGTACTTGTGAGCATTGACTGAACTGACTCCTTTTAGGCTATAGCTCAGGCAGGCTCCTACCCTTTAACCTTTGCCCCTCCCCTACATGCCATCGGGCATAATGAGAAGTGAGTGAGAGATTAGATGACTTGTTTGCTAATTCCAGGGTATTGTAGTATTCGACTCATGGATATATCCCACAAAATCAAGTTTGGTATTTTCTTTGTTTGTTTGTTGTTTGTTTCACTTCAGCTGGTTTGTATTTTTGTTCTTAAGTATAATGGCAATGATATTCACATATGAAGCGATTTATCAGTGACTTACCTCTATCAAACCCAACAGAAAAAATTAATATTATCAATTTTTTTAATTATGATAATTATTTCTCAGGTCTTTCCAGTATCTCTTTGAGCTGATGGATAGCAGTGCTGATGTTGAGTACACCCTTAAAGCATCGTATCTTGAAGTATATAATGAAAAGGTATGGAACAGTGCAGAATGTGACACTCTCTTTTAAAAATTTAAAAGAGAGTATAATAATAGATATTTTTTTGTTTTTCTCAGAAGAAAGATGACCTCCAGCTAGGTAAAATACACCAGTATACATTTTGGGAGAAAATAGCTCAAATGTGAAAATATTAAGTTTTACCCTAAGAGATGTATAAAATTTATTTTCCCCATATTTTAAGTATATATTGATTAATAAGGGTATCTCAGACTCTATTAGAGTTTTCATTTCAGTATGTACTAGCTTTTTTGAATAAAATGTAACAATTGACAACCTTTTGAAGTGTGTGTATGCATTAACATTCTTAGTGCTGGTTTATAAATCCAATGACGCAAAGTATAAAATGAAAAGATATATTAAACTATGATTCTGGCCCTATATTTTCAATAGGTACAGGATTTGCTCAACCCCTCAAGTGCAAGAGACTCGCTTCCTGTACGCTGGGCCAGAGACAGGGGATTCTATGTTGAAAACTTGTTTTTTGTTGAGTGTGACACAGTGGATGATCTTTCTGCTGTGTTGGAAGAAGGTATGTAAAGTAGCCTTCATATGTCAGTAAGCACTGACCAAAACCAAATTTTTAACAATTAGCTATACAGGCCATGGGATATCAGTTACAAATTATGTTCAACATGTATGACAAATTCCATACAATACAAGCTATATGGAAATCCAAAATAAAATGAAAGTTAAGCAATGTGAAATTTCAACCTCAGCAAGAATACTTTGAATCATCAACATAACCTCCCTGGTAATCTCAAGATTTTGCCATTGTAGTGGAGATGAGGTTGTTATAAGTAGAAAGTGGTTCTTTCTACCCATCTCTTTCCATTCATCCGACACTTCCCCTAATTTATTGTATGCTCAATCTTTTTTTCATGGGTTTGGGGGCTCAGAATAACATTTAGTGATAAGAGAATAGATGGAATCAGGAATTTTGAGGGGTTTGGTCAGAGATTCTGAAATGGAGAAGAAATGCAATCAGCAATATTCAATTTGCCATTGTAAAAGCATGAATGAATTGGAAACAATAATGGTATAATTGAGGGTGGAGATGAAAGAAAGGAAAATGAGAAATTTTAAATACCAGTAATTCTAATTATTAGTTCCTGTAAGTCTACCTACTTCAGTTTACAAATTGATTTATTTTTGCACTCTGTTAAGTGGGTTTCTGTTTTTATGCCACCATGTTTGGCCACCTCTCAAGTCAACAATATTTAATGCTTTTTCAGGACTGAGGAACCGTCATGTTGGATCACATTTAATGAATGATCACTCCAGTAGAAGTCACACTATGCTCACAGTTTACATTGATATTGAATCGGTGAGCATTTGCTTCCTTTTGGACTGAATGTTACTTTTGGTGGATGTTGCACTTTGCATGTGTGCTGACTCTTTAATGCTGCAGAGGGAGAGAAAAAACTAAGAAAATACATGAAGAGTAGTTGTGCAGTTGAACTAGGATTAATTTCAGAAGTTTATGGTTTAAACAAGTGTGCCAAACATTTTTGTTAGCAGATTTTAGTTTCAGTCTATGGGTATTCTTAACATACCTAGCCATGTCCTTCGTTGAAAGACTCATGCTTCTCGTCTTTTCTCCTATTACTTTGGACTGTCTTTTCGAAGTCTTGCAGGGTGTGGAAAACGTCATTCACTCACTGAAAACAAAAATCAAGTACAGGTGTATTTTAATCAATGATTAGATACCTTCTACTTAGGGTTTAGTGTTTTAAATTAATTGAATAATAAATCGACCTACAGCTTTCCCTCTGCATTCGTCTGTGTTTTCTTATGTTTATAAGAATAATCTAAAGTTTTGAAAAGTCAACGAATTAGTAATGATTCACGCAAATTTAAACTGTTTTGTTTGGGGTTGAATTTGATCGTGTCGCATCATATCATTCTTAAGTTATCTTTGTGTCATGCTGTCCAATGAATGCGTAAATCTGCCATTAGTGTCGGTTTGAGAATTTAATTTTCGTTGCTGTAAGTTCTTCTCAGTCCCTTTTCATCTCTCTCTATTCAATTTGAAATTGGTTGTGAATAACAGTTGCTTCACTTTCCTCCGACATAGAAGGACCCAGAAGATGAGTCTGGTTATCCTGTGATTAAGCATGGAAAGCTAAGTCTAGTGGATTTAGCAGGTAAGAGAAAAATTGAGAAAACAAGAAAATTGAGTTGCAAGAACACTTTATAAGTTTTTTAATTGTTTGTTCAGATGTCGTTATTGCTCTCCTAAAATGAAATGAGACTTTTAAAACCGAAAAGGTTTGAAAAATTCCGCTTTGCTTATTTGTATTTAAAATATTTTTGGAAATTGGTCACACCTTTTTACGGTAACCGGTCAAGTTGCCCGAGAGTCATCTCGCCCGAAGTCATGTCGCCCTAAACCTGAGTCATGTTGCCCGAAATTTTAGTTATGTCTCCCGAAAAAAAAGTCAAGTTGCCCGAAGAAACAAATACTAAAAAGATCTGAATTTCAGACTGTAAATAGGCAATAACGTTGAGAAATTTTTTATCACTAAAGTGCTCTTTGTTTCCGACAACACCGTGAAGATTCTTAAAGCGTTGTTCGTTCCTAACAACAAAGGGAAACGTTGTTCGTTTCCAACAACACAATGCAGCGTCGTTCGTTTGGTATGTAATCATTTCTTACTCACGGACGTTTCGTAAGCTTGAGAAACTTTTTCTTGGTTTCTAACAATACCATGAAGACTTTGACTACACAGAAATTGATCGTATGCTCGGAATTGAAATATGTTTGAGTAACGATTCTAAAAGCGTTGTTCGTTTCTAAAAACAAAGGGAAGCGTTCTCCGTTTCTGACAGAAAAATGAAGCGTTGTTCGTTTGGTATGTACTCGTTTCTTACTCACGGACATTTCGTAAGCTTGGGAAACTCTTTCTTGTTTCTTAAAACTCCATGAAGACTTTGACTACACAGAAATCGATTGTATGGTCAGAATTGAAATATGTTTGAGCAAAGACTCTAAAAGCGTTGTTCGTTTCTAACAATAGAGGGAAGCGCTGTTCGTTTCTAGAGCAACAAATGCATAGATGCACGTAACCTACAAGTAAAGTTCTGTTGTGTCTATTTGTGACTTTCTTAACAATGACAGATGAAAACACCTGGTAAACGAATGTCGATTGTCGCGTTCGACAAGTCGGTAAAAGGTAAAGCGAGTAACATACAAATAAAATTAACTTGTTGCCTTGCGTAAGGTAAGTGTGGTATTTTTAAGATAACAGTTTATTGTTTATGCTTGTGACTTTTTTCACAGTAGTAGTCTGATAGCATCATTTCCCTTATGATCAGAATAGGCAAAAATTATTTATTTGTTCTCTGTTTCCTCTGACGGTCGCATGTATATTTTGATCCAATCAAAGTATATATGAAGAGGGTAAAGCTAGCTACAATACGAATACGAACTGATCAAAATGAGCATCCATCCTTGTATTGAGTGTGATGATGAAGTTAGACCACTGTAACAAGCCCTAAAGTGCGACGATTACAGTCGATCATATGGCCTTTCTGACCATATGATCGGTTTCTGTGTAGTCAAAGTCTTCATGGCTTAGTTAGAAACCAAGAAAAAGTTTCTCAAGCTTACGAAATGTCCGGGCGACATGACTAAAATTTCGGGCAACATGACTTCGGGCGAGATGACTCTCGGGCGACTTGACTGTAAACCACCTTTTACGTAGCTTAATAGGGGATTGCCTAACCCTCAGTTAAAAAAGTATATATCAAGGTTGAGCTGAATTGCTACTTGTCGTTTTGAAAAGCCTTTGGTCATTCTACTCTAAAATTTAATGAACATTATCCAAGGTAAAAGTGTGAAGTATCTTGAAAAACTTTTTTAATAGAGTTGCACAGTTTTCAGATCTGCTTCGCTCGCTCCGTCTGTATGAAGGCAATTAAAAAAAACGTGGGGAGTGCTGCAAAGTGCTCTAAAAAGGAAATTTATTTCGTTCTGATTACATCCCTCCTTCCTAAGCTTCCTGAGTCTGCAAACAAGGGACGTCTCGGCTGCATCTACACATTGTCTGTGGTGTGTTTTCTTACAGGAAAAGATAGTCCTAAAAATTTCTGCCCGATTTGATTAAACGGGTGTTTTACCATCGTGTTTGATATAAAAAATAAGAAAAATACCAGGAGAGCATTTTCAAGGTGATGTAACGCTAGGAAAATCACGTTATGGCGTGAGCTTCCGTTCTTTCCCCCCTTATGGTCAGAAGATAGGAGTCCATGCAAATCTTAACTCGTGCAGCACGACCCGATATTTCGGTTAAGCACCCAGAGCTTAGAAATGTTTTTGGAATGAGAGATGAGGTTTTCCGTGGTATGATTGATAAAGAGTAAAATATTAAATTGGAAGGAATTTTATCTCATATTCCCTTTTGTTCTTCGAATGGAGTTAAAGAGGAAAGTGGCATTTATATGTTGTTCTCAAATAGTTAGAGGGATATTTTTGTACATTGCCAGAGATAAGTTCTGCAGCTTTGTGATTGGTTTGATGAAAAGAACAATGGAGAACAACATACCGATATGTAATCACGAAGTAGGGCTATAAATACCATATTAAGCTCTGTTGATTCCTTACATCATTGTCACTTTGACCTGATGACTCGAGGGCACATTTGCACATTAAGTATGTTTTGTTTAAGTCTGCATAAATGACGTTAATCGAATTGGCTTCTATGGTTCGATGATTGCTTTGTCAAATATGTAAAATTCATTATACGTGCTTAGTACCGAAAACGCTGAATAGATGAGTATATCTAATTAACTCGCCTCGAGTTATCAAAGACGGGAGTTAACTTGTAAGTTTAAGCAAGGTTAGGGATTTATTAGAGTAAGATTAACCCCCTAATTGTCCATCTTTTATAATGATTTATATTCCTTTGAGTTTTTCGTATCTACATAGCATCACAAATACAATTCTAGGCAATTAACCTTTGTTAAATGTTGATGTTTGTCTTCTATAACGTCAACATAACTTTTAAGACGTATTAAATTCCTTGTTTAGTATAGTTCAGACCCTTCTGCAAGAAATCGTAGTCGTGAACTAGTAGTGAAAAAAAAACGATGATTTGATTGCATTCTAAATCAACATTTGTCAACACTTATTACTTATCAAAGTAATATCGCTTCAATTACTTAGTTTACTGAGTAGCAACATCGCATGGCTTGATATCTTTCTGATCTTCGCTAACTTTCTTATTGTATCGTTTTCCTGCAGGGAGTGAACGCGTTAAAGAGACAAAATCTGTGGGAGGCACTTTCACTGAGTCACAAAATATCAATAAAAGTTTGTTGACTTTAGGTTAGTGGGCTTTACGTTTCGGCTTATCAGTTCTTTACGTAACTGTGTTTTGAGTGTTCACTTAGTTGAAGGTGAACAAATATTTCCTGACACCCTCACCTACTGACTCTCTACTCGCCCCCTGCTACGTAAACTGCACTGTGTTGTATCTCTGATATGTTGTAATAAGTTGATAAACATGTTTGTCGTCAGCGTGGCCTTCAGAGCGCGTGTTCCTTTGTGTTAATCGTGTAAATCGTTTCGAGGCCCCGACTTAAAAGTTTTTGTTGCAGTTTTAAAGATTTATTACAGAGCATTGGGAATTAAATAAGTGTATTCTTTCTAACGCTTCGTTAATTACGTTTCATGGTGGAAAACTTGTGTCACACAATGTTCGCTCATACCCTTTGCTACCCGTTATGTAGCGACTATTTGCTACGTGAGAAAACACGTGTCAGAAAGTTCCCTTAGTAACATCTGAAAATTAACCGCATTGAATTGATTGCCTTGACGTGATCAGCATACCAAGTGTCACAAAAATAAATGTTACATTGTATCCTTAAGTATTTGTTGGTCCTTCAAATTTTTCGAATTGCTGAAATATATTCATATGTTAACTCAACCCGATCGAATAATTTCAACGAGCATTTCACTATCAGGGAATTGTATTTCTGCCTTGAGTGACCAAAGAAAAAAAAGCGGCCACATTCCGTATCGTGACAGCAAACTCACCAAACTTCTGGCTGACAGCCTTGGTGGAGATGGTATCACCCTCATGGTAAGTCAATTCACCATAATCTTAATTCTGATGTCTTATTTATTTTTGTTTGTTTGTTTGTTTTTTTAAAAGTCTGGAACTTTCATGAGACTGGTTCCTTGTGACACGTGCACCGATTTATCATTTAAGTGGGCGTATCCTTTTGTAAAGCTATCTTTGGGAATAACGTTAAATCGCTAAATCAAGAAGTCTTAATGAGTGACGGCTTCTCTAGGGTTCTTTTGCGGTATTTATTAGCTCCTCAACACACTTAGAATTGATACACACGAACCGCTAAAATTTGGGTTCATAAAAACTGATTTTCGATCCTTGGGTTACTCAACTCTGTTTTCGATCCTCGGGTTTTCCGTGCGGAACTATTCCTTGTCATAAAATTAACGCATTATCTGTTCCTGCGTTAAAATATTTCAGATCGCATGTATCTCGCCGTCTTCCTATGTGGTGCAGGACACCTTAAACACTTTGAGATATGCTCACAGAGCCAAACGAATAAAGAACAAGCCTGTAGTGCATATGGTAAGGTCATGCTAACTTACATAAACTCCCTACTGGTTTACATACGCTACTTTTAGTGTGCTTTGTGAAAATTATTATTTAAATCAATGCTATTTGCCCTTCATCACTAGATAAAGACAGTTGAACTGGCCAACTCAGGTTGTCATTTTTCTCTTTAGGATCCTAAAGAAAAGCTTATTTTAAGTCTAAAGCGAGAAATAAAGTTGTTGAGAACGGAAAATGCTTATTTCCGACAACAGGTAAGAACGACGTGGAGACCTTTCTGTATTAGTAGGTTTTGATAAGGAAATTAGAGGTAGCACTAATTGAAAAGTACATCCAACCGGGGAGAGGAACAGTTAAATATTAAATTATGTAAACAGAACTACTAACAGTTGTGGAGTTGTTGCTTGTGACTCCCTTAGGGTTTATGCAGAAAAAAAATATAGCCATAGCTAAAAAGATTTTATCCGACCTCTTTTCTTTCATTTAGCTCGGAATACCTAGCAGCGACTCGCAAACATCTTTAACAAGCTACGAAAGTAAAACGACAATTGTTACAGAGGACGGTAGCACACCGAAGCTCAATGATCCTTCGCTAAGTGAGTAGTAATAAGCGATTGATTTAGAGATGCAAATCACTTAGTTAGAATTATTGAACGGAGAAAAATCATCGAAGAAGGCTCAGCAGCAAGCAATGGAGAAAACCTAAGAGTGTGAAGACCAACGAAGTTAAGAATAATGAAATAAGATTGAACGAAGGAAGAAATAACGATTAATAAAGCTAAACAAACAGATCCAAAAACAAGATACGCGTAGTTTTTAACTTTTGATTGGATTGTTATCATGATATTATGTGATTAAACTAATATTAGAGTCTTTGATGTCTTCGTTGTTATCTTTTCCTCTTTCTTCGCCTCCTAGAAGATGAGGGAAAGCTTAAACCCGGAGAAGATTCGCAAAGACTTACAACTGCGTTGTAAGTGATCTTTTTACTTTTGCCTATGACTTACTTTGTCTCCCTTTTTCCGGCTTTTGTACTGTTAGTTGATGGTCTGATTCAAGTCTTTTCCTCTCAAATCTTGACTTTGATGCTGTTTCAGTATGGCCGCGGGAGCCAACTCTGGTTTATACGATATGCTGCAAGAGTACATGCTGGAAAACGAGAACCTTAGGTGAGAGTTATTGGTTGCACTCGAACCAGGTGTGCGTTTAGTTCGGTTGGTCGACAGTGAATTTAGTTTATATCTTGGTGCTTTCATCCATTGCGTACTAAAATAACCAAGCAAACTTTTGATATTAACGCCCATGTTAACCGTGTCGAATTTTTCGAAGTGAACTGTTTAATCTCTGAGTTTAAATTTTCTAAACTTTGCGCAAGCAGCGCTTTAAAATTGTTTAACTTAGTCTGTGTTATGTTGTTCCCGTTGAGGAAGTATAGAAAGAGTATAACCATATTATGTTTTCATCTAACTCCCGTGACACTGTCAGTTAGTGGTCGTTAAACTTACTTTAGTAGATATGTGAATGTCTCCGAAAATTCTGAGAAATATATTTTTGCAGAAAATAGATTACGAAAGCGAATATTGGGAATATTCGCTTTTATTGGTTCGGCTTCAATACCTAACTCACTTTCGCCTCTTTACAGAACAAGAAACGTTGAGCTTGTTCAAAGTCGAGAAGAAGTCTCGAGGCAGCAAATGGTAAGAGGCTTGGGGAACGCTCATGACAAAATTTTGCGCTGATAATTTTATGTAGCAAGCATACTTTTGCTTTCATCTCCGTTAACTCTGCTTTTTGTAACCCAGGTTTTGTCAAGAGAAAATGACCGATTGTCTAAGAAGTTGGAGGAGCTAGAGAGGTTAGTCATACACCACCGCCTCAAAAACTACTTCGATTAGCACGCACAAACTAAGCAAATGATCCGTCAAAATCATCTAAAAATGTTAACCTTTGAGAGTCTTTGCTGTTTCTTTTAGCTAAGAAGAAGCGATCTAAGACAAGAGAAGATAATCCTCTCTTGTTGAAGACAATGCCCGCTTTGTATTGATCCAAGATTATGACGTCGCTTCTATCTTTTTGTTTTGTTTTTTTTTTGCAAAAGTCACTGAACTTTTTCATTGTCGACACAGCTTAATTTGTCTTTTTTTTTTTTTCACTGAAGAGTGATCGTATCATCGCCTATGTCCTTACGGACTTTATCTGGTGTGGAGTCGTTACGAGGTGTCGAACGAACCAGTTCTCTCCCGGAGGAGCGCTTTATGAGTACGATCCCAGTCCACTCTGCCCGTGCGCACCCCTCGCAATTCGCATCAGAGCTGCAACCAGGCCATTTCGAAAGACGGAACTCTCTGCCAAGTAAGCAAAACTCCCTTGTTATGTCCTTGCATCATAAAAGTTTTGTCTTTCAGTGACTAACAATCTAACAACGATAAATGTGAAATATCCAACCAACATTCTGATCAATCTAAATAATGAATTATTTTTCCAAGAAGATAAAATACCGTTGTCTTACAAGAGTACTGTAAGTTTTCATCACGTTCAAAGAATATATTTCTCATCAATGAATGACAAACCCACACTGAACGTATGTCATATAGGTGTCTCGGTTAGGCAACGTTAAAAGTGTCGATCGAAGGTATTGGCGCTTCTATCTAAATGACTTATTGTTTGTAAATTTCAGCTCAGTCTAAGGATCGTCGACGGTCGGCATCAGATCTACCCCCAAACTTTGGGCCAACGAGATTCCCGCCAATTCAAGATGGACCTTATCCCAACTATGTCGGGCAAGGCGGCTGGAGGCAGGTACCGGAGGCGCAAGCCATGCCCCAGGAAGTCATTCCTGGTAAGAAATTATGATTTGATTGTAGTTATTTTTTATGAATTTCGCTATCTTGTATTTCAATAACAAGGAAGGTTCGCTAACACCGAGGTTTATCATTTTTTAAATTCTCCCTCATCATTGACCAAGGAAAGCCCTCTTTTTATGACCTTAGTCATCATTTTGTCATTCACATCACCCCGTTGTTCAGTTCCTCATGTTTATATTTTTCTTTCGTTCTTCGTTCTTAGTATCTAATCGGGTTCACCAAAGAGCGCCGCAGGCTCGAACCACCTCAGACCCTCCAAGCAAGCAAAAATCTACAGCCAGCACGTGAGTTCCGTAGTTTAGTTTTAATTGAGTTAATATGTAACCAGATTGAACTGACACTCAAAAATGCCTCATGCAGGTGATATAAGTGTTCACCTTTAAAAACAATAGTATATCTCGTAGATTGGGACTAGATTTGAGAGTGGCACTTTTTATCATAACATTTTGTAAACGTTGAAATACATACATTTGTCAAGGAGGGAACGGTGACACATCTCAGTCGTATGTATCAGTGATGACACACTGTTTTTTTTTAGCTTAGGGAACGGACTACGAGCTTTTGGTTACCGAGCCTTGAAAACAAACTTTCTATATGTAACCTGATTGAACGACAAACACATATCAATTAGCGGAACACACGGCAATGGTTTTGATCCAAACAAACCTCTGCAGTTTATTTAAACCCTTCTTTTGGAGGTTTCTTCCTTCCTTTGGCCCAAGCAATCAAAGAGAAATTCCTATCGAGAGTAGTTTAAGGGTATCGTCTTAATGAACATTGGTTTTTGATCTCTCGAAAATTTCCGAAAGGTGAAAGGATTTCCTGGATCGAAATGTTCCATAGAATTATTATTATTATTATTATTATTATTATTATTATTATTACTATTATTGTTATTATCATTATTACTATTATTATTATTATTGTTGTTCATAGTTAGCGTCATTCATGTTTTTTCTCGATTCCCCACAGCAAGAAAAGATCTGTTTCAACATCGGATCGCCCTCAAAAAGCTGGTAACAGCTACGCTCGAATGTTTGCTGTTCAAAAAGAAAAGAAAGCCAAAGAAGCAAAGGAAAATGAAGGCAAAAACCCTCAATCTAATGATGCAAATCAAAAAACTGCTGCAATGGAAAACCGGAATCCTCAAATTCTAGTAGATGGAATGAACTACAATAGCCAACCAAATGGCGGGGGGCCTGTGGAAAATGACATGCAATTAGGTTACAACCCTGCGTTGGGTAGGTATCATAATTCGCCAACCCATAGGTGCTTATCAGTCGCCTGCTAAGTTTGTGCGCAGTGGAACATCATTGCTCTTTCTTCTTGTTGATTTGAGTAAGACTGTAAAAAGACTTACGACTTAAAACTAGAGACCATAGTGACCCTGTTTGGCGGCACTTACTCGTTAAGACCAAATGAGGGGGTGCCCGGGGGTCATAACAAGAAAAAACAGGTAGTTTTGACCAACTTTGGTTTTTATATGGTAGCAAATAGTGTCTTGGTGGGTGGTACCTTCATTAATTACGTAACGTTATCTCTGGTTACAGCTGAGCATCGCCAGTTAGCCGAACGTACGAGGCAAGAACTACAACAGCTGGACTCTCAAATAGAGTACCACAGATTTATGACCCAGAACAGATACAATAATAATCCACCGAGATGACAGTCGGACATCGCATTGCACAGTTACACCATTGCACATCATACGCGAATATATTACTAGAAACATGTTAGCGACTCGCTGGATGGAGAAAATGTGATCTTTTACACGTCTCTAAGTTATAAATTTACAAATGAGGAAGGACTGGATAGTACTGGAAAGCTTTTAGGAAAGTTTTCATTTCTATTTTTTGCATTTATATCATTATTTACTGAATTCTATTTCTAGGCGTTACGTCGCCGTTGTACATAGAGAATTAAGATATTAAGTTGATGTATAATTTATATGAAAATTAAAGATATATACTTGATATTTTCAATGAATTTCTTGATGTCTCCACTGCACTAACTAAGATATATGGCAAATGAAAGAAGTCAGTAACCTTAATGAAAGCCTGAGCGTTCTCCCAACGGAGGGCTGAATGAGCCGTAAGGAACGAGGGATAGAACCTTAATCGAACAACTCGAGCCGTAAAAAGCAGGCGATATCCTTGCACGGTTTAAGTAGATGTCTTACGATTCTCATTGCTCTCGGCTAAGTACAGCTGAACTATTGATTTGGCAGATTTGCAGCCCTTATATAAAACACCTCACAAGGCAAAGCGTCAGCTCTAAGAGTCTTCATGGTAACGAAGCGTCTTACACCTATCTCATTCATAGAAAGAAGTCTTGCAAAATATCATGTTTTCTCTCTTGTATCTTGAGTTTAAGCAAACAGTTGTAATCAGGAGTGGAAAACGACAACAAAAATATTCCTTTCTCTAAACACGTAAAGTTATTGTAATTATCAGGAGTAGAAAACAACAACAACAGTTAAGCTTATGATGTTATACGTGGCCTGGCTGCGGATAACAAACGCAAAATATAACACAGAACGAAAATAGCAAAAAGGAAATAACACAGGAAGGAGGAAGGCATTAAGAGAAGCCCTTACCGTCATAGAACTTCAAAGCGTTCATATGAAACTAAATCGCACTTACTGAGCAGGAATAATGACATAAACATTTATATGTATATATTACTTCTTTAAATATCAAAACACGAGTCGTCATCAAGTTCACTTCCTTACAAGTACATGAGTCTTGAAAGAACGATGTCTCTCTGATAATACATCTTAAATCCATAAGTCAAAATTTCTGAAACGAGAAAGCATGGCTCGTTTCTCTGTTTCGGCTTTCTGAACTTCCACAGAGAACCTCATTACAATTAGACCAATTGTTATCGTACCTTACGTTCCTTTGTCTTCACCGAAGTAAAATTGTCGCTTATACCGTCAACTTTGGCTTTCTGCTGTTAATTTTCAGACGATCAGCTGCGTTATGAACAAACGGCAAGCAAAGCTACATGCAACAGCGGTGTAGCCGCGTCTTTTTGGCGCGAAACTCGGCTCGATGGTTGGGAGGACCACCCGATCTCCAAGAGGGCTATGGGTAATGTATTTTGGGGAACTGATGTCAATAGAGCCTTTAATTTCCTCTGATCAAAGGGCATTGTTTATCTGTATGCCAAGAGGATGGCCTTGATTAAAGAGTAAGAAAAAGAAGATTAGAATTTAAATGCGGGGGCTCCCTTCAAGTGAAAAAAATTTCGAATAAAATAGAATAACATAAAAAGTACACTACAGGATTTGAGCAAAATATCGAAACTTTCAAATTTGAAGTGGATCATATCATCGTGATGTAAGGTTCCGTATAGTAGAGTAGTGCAATATCAGTACTGGGTTGCGAGGAGAAAACAAAGATATCGTTCCAGTTTAAAAGTCGACACATGGACAAGACATCAAAGCTCGTTTATAAGTGATATAGAGCAATGAGGATGATGACTGAGTTTTTGGTTTTCCGTAGCAAGAGAGAGTAACTATTGATAGTTTTGTATATCTATTACAATGTAAAGAACCTATTTGATACAGTACTCAAATCGATGTCCTCTTGCAATTTATTTCAGAAAAAAAAACGACACTCCAAGAAAATGGAAATCTTTATTATAAGCAGTTCCTCTAAAGAGAATCAGCTTTTCACTCTGGGATTACCAATATTTACATATGTACAACTTTCCCAAGCAGTTAAAATATCCTGCCTGGATGACTGTATGATATTCCAGAAATGCAAAAAATTCTACTGGACGCATACATCACAAGACTGGTGTGTTTGAATTACTCGCTAGCTACTCCAAACCTCTTTTAACACAACCACGAGACTGTTCTAACGCTTTCTACATCCTGGAATGTCATTGACACGTGCGTCAGATAAAATGAATAAATGGCTGCTTGCTCACGAAGTGACATTGCAAAATAAATACATCTCTCTACCGTTTAAGTAACTATATCTTAAGTAAACTTTTCCAATGATAAATTAGCTAGAGGGCGTCTCATTTCCTTCAGTAACGAAACCCAACACTTGAGCCGCAAAGCTGTCAGCGGTAACATTCTCTGGCAGATGCTCTTTTAGCAATTCGCTTGCATCAGAAGCGTCATAGGTTCCAGTCTCTGCACTGCCACCTAACTCTCCGAGACCTAACAACGTGGACATGCATTCGGCCAGCTCAGCCTCTGTCATATGTTCACCTGAGACAAAGAAAATCGAGATATGTGAGATCTACAAAGTGTAGATAGTAAACCAGGGTTGTACCGATTTTGTTACATTGCGCTCTCTGATTGGTCCAGAAATCTGCGCCATTTTGGATCCAAAATCAAAATTAATGACCTCTTGATCACTTTCGTTTTCCCGCACTTCAGGCACGTTAGTTAATTTTACTTTGCAATATTATATGCCTCTTTTGATATGGGGTTATTTGTTCTGATTGGCTGTTTTGATTCATTTGGTTTTGGTTTTACGACACTAAATCATGAAGCGCTCCAGGGGTAAATATCAGAGCTAAAACTTTTGTGAGTTCTATTTCAGCGTAAAGGAGAAATTAATGAAACAAAATGAGAAGGACAAAACACAATAAAACCATCTTAAAATCGCAAAAACAAAAGCAGAACTTCAAACTAACTCTAAGTAATACAAATCACAGAGATGATTCCCTTCTTTGTGGAAATAAGTTAACTGTCGTACCTTTGTTCTGTAACAGAGTCAAAAGTCTGTCCCGATCAATTGCAAATCCTTCGTCACTCGGTATACCCAGCTTGGTAAATGCTTCATTTAAGTCAAACGGTGATAAGCCAAACGCAGGGCGATGGTTGACGTAAACTGCAAAAAGAACAGAGCACTCTTGTTCTAATCCTTTCTCATGAAAATAGAGAGCGAGACGAGGTAATTGTTCGAGAAAGTTTTGTTCCACGAAATTCTCGCTAATCAGTAACAAATCTCAAATTTACGTAACAATACATGTATTAGAACTCTGCGAATATCCAGTATGAATCAACATTGTGCCCAGACACACCAACTTTTGAAAAGTTTGGGGGTATTCCTGTGATATCATTAGAGCTGCGACACAGTCTTCCATGCAGCGTGAGCAGTCCCCGGCCAAGTCATTACAGTTTACGTTATAACTGTGGCACACTTACAAAAATAAGGAGAGCACGAGGCCAAAAAACGAGCAATAACATGCACTATAATGAAAAATCCACTCAACAACAAAGAACGAGCATAGAACATTCATCAACGGCTAATGATCAAGTTCAAAATACTTACGTTTTATAAATTCACCCAGATCAATCTCGTTTACGTATTTTCCTGTTGCAACGTAATCTCTGAATTTTACCTCATTGATCATATCATCAATCTGAAGAGCATACCAAGAAAAGGAATTTTCGGTTGAAATGCAAGTAGATCAAAGGCCTTGGAAAAAAATGAAGGAAATCTCATTGGCCTTACCTCTTGTTCCGTAGGATAGTATCCCAAAGCTCGCATGATATACGGCACCTGAGCTAGTGGCACTTTTGTTGATACTTGTCTGGTGTCTGTCGTGTCCACACCTTGACTGAGGTAAGAAACAAACTGATTCACTCTGACAAAATTTCCTCTAACATCATCCTTTAATAGTTACATTCGCCTTCCAGTCCCCTTTTCAAAAACGTCAACAGTGGGATTTCTCTCAATTGACTGTTTCACCAAAGATCCAAAAGTTAATGCTTCCCGCTACTGATCCTACATTTCTTTTTGAGCTATTCCTGAGAATTTGAAGCTAAATCCTCACAAAATTTCTCCATTGAAAATTAGCTTTTTTCTTAAGGATAAGTAAAGGACATTTCTGGAGAGCCTAAGTTTCCCTAACAAAGACAGTGCATAGATCTACCGTGACAAATCCAACAGTACAACAAACCTTCTGATCTGGGCGTAATAGAAATAGTCCTCCAACTCAGCGAACAGTTCACCGTCCCGACCACCTTCTAATAAACCGTAGAACGGTACCAGACCCTCACCGCCGAGAGCAGCCGCAGCTTCCAACGCACTGAAGAAGAAGAATAAGGCCAATTTTTACTTTCTTAGCTATAATGATTAGATGCACAGTACCCTGCAGAATCTTCATTAAACGTTGAACCTGCATTACGTACAGGCATCAGACTTAGTATATCTTAATCTCTCTGTCCTTATCGTCTGTAAAAAGGAATTTATAATGAAGAGTGATCTCGTTTAAACTGACGGTAATAAGGTTCTCCCGTGTCCTCCTCAGGCAGGTTCCACAGAAAACAAAAAGGCAGCAAAAACCGGTTGCAAAGGACAAAATATACTAATCCTTTTTCGAGTAGTCATTTTGTAGTCTTTGATCAACCATCCCTTCGGAAACTACCAATTTACTACAGAGCACCTTTATCGGAATCCATCCTATCTAGTGGAACCGTTGTCAAATTGTGTTGTCAATAATGACGTTCGTAACCATATTTCCAGGCGATTTCTTAGACTGGTCCAAATAAACCGAACAAACCAAGAGTGTAACAATTAAATCAATACTTACTCCAGGTTGATTTCCCACATTAATACACTACAATCCTCGCCACCGGCTGTGAAAACATACTTCCCATCACATGAAGAAACCAAGTTAGACACCTTGCATTGAAAAAAATAATATATAGAGAAGACAGTATCAGATTAAAGCTGAACTTTATGCCAGACGACTGACTAAACTCTTCTTTAAATTGTTAGAAAGCAATGTTCTTAAAAATACCCTTACCCCCTCTGGATGCGCGATTAAAGCCATGGTCTTGTGCGGATTTCCATCTAATGGTAGGCATTGAAGACCAACCTGGAAGCATTGTGATAGATAAGTACCAGGGATTAAATTATTGCCAGGTTTTTGTTTAAAAAAATGGAAAGAGACCCTAAAAGATAGTTTGCGAGGAGTCGACAAACACCAAAGGGGTTTTTAAATTTCTTACCTTGTCCACTGTAATGTAAGCGAGATACCGTGTCAATCTTTCCTCGTGAGCTGGTAATACGATAAGTCTGCAAATGAATCACAAAAGCTTTGTAAACTTGACAAGTATATGGAAAAAGTAAAAGCATCTAACATTCAAATATATGAATGGAACACACTACTGAAATAGATTTACTTTTCAGATTCGAACCTACAATCAACAACATTTCAATATTTACTTTCCTAAACTGTGTAGGTGAAATCGCAGAAATTTTCTCAGGTCATTAACCCTTTAACCCCTAAGAGTGACTGGCATCTAATTTCCCCTTACAAGATCACCTCTGAATAAAACATTAAGGTCACGAGATAAGGGAAATGATCAACAACTAAAGAAGTTCTTGATTGTTAAACAAATTCTCCTCTCAGAACCTTAAGAAATGTATAGAGAAAGTATGGAGAATATGCATACTGATGTCAGGGTGTAAAGGGTTAAGGCCTTGAAGAGGGCAAACTTATGTACCACAACGCGCGCGTAAAAAGGGCTACTGAACTAATACTTTGAACGACTCCACAAGAAGATTCTACTAAACCTCACATTACGTTACTATCCCTTCCCCAAACTCCAAGGGGCTACAACATGCAGTCCTAAAGAAGGGTGTAACCACGACCACCACGAGGAAGGTAATATTGATGATGACGATGATGAGAAAAACAAACAAAAATTTTAATACGCATATCACGTATGTTGAATTTTCCCTCTCAGTGCTGTGTCCACCTCTTACCTTCTCAGTGGGGTGCCATATGTTGGTCCCAGCAGCGTTTGTCTACACATCTTCGTGGTTGAGTTATACAATTTTAATTTGAACTGTGATTAAGAAAAATGAAAAAACAAAAACAAAAATAAACTACTTGTTCCATGTAATAGAAAACAATTGCCAACGATCATTGATGGGTCTTCGTTCAATTCATAATTATTCAATAACTATTTAGTTCATTAATGATGCGTGGGTAAACATCTACACTAAAACTTTTTCAAATACCTGATCGTTAGCGACTACTAGAAAATCTTCCTTGACAATTGGCGGATACCAAGTAAAACACTGAGGTACAGCACTTTGTTCAATTCTCTCTGAACTGATGAGACGGAGGTCATCTGTGCTGCTGTTCAGAAGATCATACTCCACCTAATAAACAGAACACAGAGAATCATGTTGTGAAAGAAGAGCCTTATTTGAAGTCTTTTTTTTTCTTAAGCATGGAAAGAGAATTACATCTTGAAACTATGGTCTGCTCAGAAGATAAACACCAGAGATGCAATAATAAAAATTATGTATCAGTTAAATTGTGAGGAGAAACTAAATGCTACACATTTCTAGGGGTTAAAGGGTTCAGGAGGGCTCCTTCAAATATGCGTGTATAGCTTTTAGTTACTGGTTCAACACAATAGCAAAATTGCAAGTGATCCCATACATACCAGCACTCTATCTTGACCCAGAGAAAGTAACCGAGGGATATCACTGTCTAAAGCTATCCCAAAGGAAACGTCTGTAAAAAAGGTAAAACTGGCTTCACAATACAGCCAAGATGTATCAGATATGGAAAGTTACAATAACTAACTGGCTGCCTTGCAGAAATGGAAGCTTGGTGCCTAGGATCTCCAGGAGGCTTCCACTGCATCCAGCCAAGCTCCAGTTAAAAATTATCACATCCATAACTTGCAAGTCCTTGTTATTCAATCAAAAGCCTCAATTCCAGCAACTTGCAAACACTAATTGGAGTGATGGGAAGAGACAAAAAGAAAAGAGGATAGGGTGGGAGGGGGGAATGATAACTCATGCAAAACCACGCTGGATGGCTGAAAAGCAACTGCTCTGAATTGTCAAATTAAAGCGTTGAACTATGGAGGCTGATGGTACCCTTGGTCTCCTTGAGTCCTAAAGAAAGCAAACCAACATTCACTCACCTTGTATTGTTTTATAGTGAGCTCTCTGTTTACCAACATAAACCCATGGTTGGTCTGAGTTGTCCTTCTGTGCTTTGAAAACTGTTACACAGCGGTCTAAATCCTTTTAAAGACAAAATCAGGACTATGAACACAAGTTGGATAATGGCAACTTTTTAAGAAGTAGGTTCACCCATTCATTCATAGGGGTTGGGCAATTATTTCCTACATCTGTGACAGAGTTGCAACCTTTACCAAATGAGTTAGAAAACCTTTCATAAAATTGTACTAACACCTGATAATGAATCACCAGACCCTCTTTACTTTTTCATTGAAGAAAATAGGATAATAAAAAACTTGTGTGGTTAAAGGTCAAAGACATTTCAGTCAAAACATTGAACTTTCTTTCTTCTTTTTAATTGTAACACCTGATATTTTGTTGTAAATACTTACACATGTGGCCAAATAGTTGGAATCATGAGAGAATTTGATATTAGTGACACAATCATGGCAGTGATTGAAAACAGCAAGGCCATCACCATGCCCTTCTTCCTTCAGCAGCAATCCATCCAAGATACGCACACTACCATTAGTAAATCCAATAGCTACAATAAATAAAAGAATATCATCATTTCCAGACTTCTTCTCTATTTGTACAATCAGTTTGGTAGCAATGGAAATTCATATTTATTTAGTTAATATTCACTCACCAAAGTGGGGGTGAATAGCAGTGGATACAAGTGTTTACCAAGCCATGAAGCAGCAAGGCAAATATTATTATTATTATTATTATTATTAAATTTAAATTTATACCGCGCAGTTTCTATAAAAATATTCAACTGCGCCTTACAATAAATATTAAATTAGAAATTAAAATAGAAGTTCAAAATTACAATTCTAAAATAATGCAATTCAATTATAAAAACTATAGAACTAATTAAACGCCCTATTAAATAAAAAAGTTTTAAGTCTAATTTTAAAAATATCTAAACTGGAAATAGATCTTATTGTGGTAGGAAGCGAATTCCAAAGTCTAGGGGCGGCACAACTAAACGATCTATCTGCCAGGGTCTTCTTGGATATTATCTTCGGGAAAGTTAATAAAGCTGCAGAGTCATCGTTGCGCCTTAAATTATACCTAGATGGCGGCAAGATAGATATTAAATGGCGCAAGTAATCGGGCGCCATACCATGCAATACCTTAAATGTAAGAAGAATTATTTTATATTCGATACGATAACAAACAGGCAGCCAATGTAATTCGTGAAGTAGAGGCGTGATGTGGCACGACTTTGGAGCACAATATACCAAACGGGCACTAGCATTCATAACACGCTGGAGTTTAGACAACTGATATTTCGGTAACCCATACAAAAGGCTGTTGCAATAATCAAGTCTGCTTGTTATAAACGCATGAACTAGTGTTTCAGTGCTACTTCTAGATAAGTACTTCCTAATATGTCTGATATTATAAAGATAATAAAATGAGCTGCTGCATGTTTTGGTAATATGTACATCCATATTCAAATGCGGATCAAACCATGTGCCCAGATTACAGACTGATGAAGAAGGACTAATATTATAATCTCCGACTCTGATGCCATCGATAGACACCTTTGTGAGCTGCTTCCGTGTCCCAACAAGCATAAAATCAGTCTTGACATCATTTAGCATTAATTTCCTCACACACATCCACTGTCTAATGTCACGAATACAATTTTCAATGGCAGTGACCGCATCCAACTCACCAGTGCCAACACTAGGACTAAAGGACAGATACAACTGAGTATCGTCCGCGTAAGCATGCGCAGTTGGTAAATGGGACTCCAGGAGAGAAAACAAATCACTTGAATAGATAGTAAACAAAAGCGGGCCAAGGCAAGAACCTTGAGGTACACCCCACTTCAAATCAAATGACTGCGAAAGCGTCTCTTTTATGCAAATTCTTTGAGATCTCCCTTCCAAATAAGACTTGAACCACGAAAGAGCAGAGCCGCAAACACCTAGTTTCGTCTGAAGGGCTTTTAATAAAATCTTGTGGTCAACAGTGTCAAAGGCGGCACTCAAGTCTAATAACACCAAGAGTGATACATGCCCCTTGTTCATATTCATTAGCAAATCGTTTTTTACTTTTAACAATGCAGTCTCAGTGCTGTGATGGGAACGATAAGCAGATTGAAGCTGAGGGAAGAGATTGTTCTTAATCATGTGACACTGAATCTGATTGGCTACCACACGTTCAGTAAGTTTGGACACAAATTGCAAGTTGCTAATTGGTCGAAAATTCTTGAAAAGAGGATCAAGACCAGGCTTTTTCAATAATGGATGTACCACAGCAGTTTTCCAGGCGTCAGGAAAATATCCAGTTCGTAAGGACAAATTAACCATATTCGTTATTACAGAAAGGAGTGGGTCAAGGCAGGCAGATAACAGAGTCGCAGGTATTGGATCCAAGATGCAAGTTTTTTTCTTCCCTGATGTAATCATATCACGTATTGCTACAGCCGTTGTACATTGAAAATCAGACAGTACAATATCGCTAGGTTCAGATACCAGATCAGGCTCCGACGTCGACAGAAGATGCGATGGAGAGATACCTTCCAACTTTGACCTTATATTAGCAATCTTGGTAATAAAAAACTCGCCCATGTCATTTGCAAGCAGAGAAACGTCAGTATGAGGAGGAAGAGCTCTATCCGGCTGCATATTCAGTAGACTCTTACTTGCCATAAACAGCCTCCGCTGGTCAGAACTATTATCCTCAATGAATTGATTGTAGTAGACACGACGTGCCTCATTCATCAAGTTCACCACACGATTTCTTTCCTTTTTAAAAGCAGCACGATCTGCAGATAGGCCAGTAATTCTCCACTTCTTTTCAGCCTTTCGTCTCGACCGTTTAGCTTTTCTGATATCTTCATTAAACCACGGTGCTCGAGGCCGAACAACAATATCACGGGACAAGACAGGTGCATAGATATCTAGTATAGATCTTAGTGTCTCATTGTAACAATTGACTAGGGTATCCAAGTCGTCCGGTGGGTCAAGACAGAGCTGAGAAGAGCAAATCGTCTCGGAAAATTGATCACGGTCAATTGATTTAATTTTTCTGAACTGCAGATGTTTGATGGCCACCGGAGGTCTTTCAGGTTTTAGTTGACAGAAGACTGGGAAATGGTCAGAAAACAACTCACCAGTGTAGGGGCACCCAGCAATGATGTTATCAGATATACGAGTGATGATCAAATCCAGTGTGTGACCAAGTTCATGGGTAGGGTGTAGAACATGTTGTTTAAGACCCATCGACACCAGAAGGTCAGACATGTTTCTACAGTCAGTGTCATCAGGTAGATCCATATGAATGTTAAAATCGCCCAGTATTAACAAAGGCTCACTTGACATGACCAAAGACTCGAGATAATCTGAGAATTCAGTGATAAATGTTGAAGTAGACACAGGATGTTTAACAGAATATGGAGGCCTATAGACTAAAACAACCCGCAAACGAGTAGTAGCCACAGGATTGACCAACCATTCTGACACCTCGAATGACTCTTTTCCTGCAGCTGAAACCTTTTCAACGTTGATAGATTCTTTGAAAATCAATGCAGTCCCACCTCCTCTGCGATCACTGCGGGGATGATGAAGGAGTTTGTATCCCTGTGGTGTTATTTCACTAAGAATAGCAGTGTCATTGTCTGTAAGCCAGGTTTCAGAAACAGCAAATAGATCTGCTTTGCTATCGCATACCAAATCCACAAACGACGCTGACTTATTTCTCAAAGATCGAGCATTGAGAAGGCAAAGCAACAATCGTTGCGTATCGTTCTTGATATTTTCCAACACTTGTTGAGGCTTGGGCACAATAATGTGGACCAAATTACGTAGACACGGCGGTGCACGATTGCCAACAGCGCTAGCATAAGCAAAGTCGCCGTTTGTCGAGTGTCGATTTCCGATTACAGCTTGAATAGCAGAGGGGCCAGGATTTAAACTTACATCACCAGATTTGATCAGTCGAATCAGTTGAAAACTGGAAGTTGAATTGTGATGATAGTTCACTCTAGCGCCGAGGTAACTCATTCCACGAAGTCGACAACCAAGATGGCGGCCTAATCTCCGAGTGGAGTTTACTTGTTTGTTGCTCGTTATCACTTCCAACGAAGACATTGAGCTGCCAGAGCGAAGCGGTGCACAAGAGAAATAATATAGGCTATGTCCAGATAAATATTTCTCAGGGTGAAGACCAAATAAAAGCAATAAAAATGATAAAACTACGGAGCCAAGAAGGACACGTCTGAGTGCCATGCTGACCGCTGACCTGAGTGATCCATCACTTCAACCAACACTCAAGTGAATTATTGCTTTAGTAACCAGAAAATTAGTTCATTATAACAAAAATGGTCAGAAATTAAACTCTTCACATGCAATTTTGTCTCTTCAATAAATCAGAGGTGAAAGTACTAGTTTAAATCACCTCCAAACTAGCCAATCAACCGGCACCAAAAGCACTTTACCTCACTTGTACATGGTATATACTAATCAGAGTTAATTCATTGGCATTAATTGTAATACATATTGATTCAAATACAACCAGGACGTGAGAGGGCCTCAAAAAGAGCACTCAAATCATTCTAAATATACATTTAAATCTTTCTAATTCCACAAACCTAAAAGATCTCCTGAAGGGTTAAACGTCATGCATTGGATCATCAGTTGACGTTGGTCAAAAACTCGACTTGCCAGCAGTTCTCTGTTCAATTAAAAAAATATCCAGATACATCACTATGATGCAATTTAAAAAAATACTTACATATTAAATACTTAAATCATTTCACAGTGCTTCTAGGAAAAGATGTTTTCTTATATTTTAGGAATATAATTATTACTTTCAAGATAAGATATTGACAAACTTACTTCTTTTCATAATCCCAAAGCTGAAGTAGACCTGAGTAACTCCCAATACACAGCCTTGGTCTGAAAAATCAAACATGTTCATATTGCTTGTCTCTAAGAAAGAAAACCACAAATAAATCATAACTCTGCAGTAGAAGTCTAGGAAGGAAGTTTCCCACTGTTGTTAACAAAAAAAAAGGGTCATAGCACAGTATTGAAGATCTAAACCAGCCACTGTGGAGAACTAAGATTGTTCGAACTGCCTATTAAGAACCTTCATTTCAAAGAAATGATCACCTATGATGAAAGTTTTATAAAGTATATTATTGTCATGTTAAAATGGTTAAGATAGACAGTGCTGACAGTAGTTTTTATACTTTCAATAACCAGTCACCACTTCCTGATTCTGTTTCTTATACAACAAAGTATTATAATGTTGTTCAGAACTGAAGATTAGAGGATTTTCATAATACATATACAAGTGGCCTTGTGAAATTAAATTCTTAACATAAGAGTACACCATTGCTGTTAGTGTAAATATGACAAGTAATACATGAAAGTCCAATAACTTACTCAGATGGGTGGCATGCTATGCCATGAGTGTCACTATCATGCTCCCTTCGGACAAACTAGAATTGACAAGAGGAAAATATTTAAAGCAACTTATCTAACAAGTGATTTGATCTCAAAATGCAAGAGATACCTGAGAATTAAGGGGACAAGACACACACTGCTTCTGTTACAAATATATTTGTGGATGTTAGAGTCAAATGGAATACAGGCTAGTAATCAATGAAGGAAGTAAGAAACTAGAGAAAGATGTTTTTCGTCTTATCACTAGCCTCGGACAAAGAAAAAATTCTGAGTCCCCATGAGGAATCGAACCTTAGACCTTTGGATTCTGTGCTTCGATGCTCTACCACTGAGCCACAGAGACTCTCTGGTGAGCAAGGCCCATTACAAAGTTCATATATGACACTGTACCTGAAGTTCACTCCCATCAGTGGCAAAATGAGCAATGTTGGCAGTGGATGTGCTAATTAAGAAATCATTTACTACAAATGGTTCAGCATCCAAAGTAGAACTGGAAGGATAGTTTGGTTGAACTGGGGGAGTTCTACAACAAATTTAAAAATCACAAAGATTAGGATATGAAAAGTGACATATCTAAGTTAAAAGCTGTCACTTTTCCTTTTGAACATTCAGAATGTCACATATACTTGTCGGTAGCTTGATAAAAATTTTACATCACATGATCTCAAATTTTAATGAGGTTTCAAAAAATAAAAATAATTTCAGAATCATCCAATTTTGAAAAAAAGTATATAAATATTCTTGATATGTATGAGTTTGGAGTTAAAAAGACAATTCTAGAAACAATGCTAGATGAAGAGTTTATAAAATTAACTATAAAAGAGTTTAGGTGTCACCATATGAATATCATTTCATGAATTTAATGGTAAAAAGAATTGAAGAATTCACAACATCTTGTGTGTCCATTACCAAAGAGAGGACATCATGTATAAATGAGATTACTTCATTTAGAATAATCAGTTTTGAGAGGAAGAACAAAGTTAAATATTCAAGTCATAGGATCATTACTGGAGAGATTTCTGTGTATATAGAGAACTTTTGCAAACTTTGGAAAGTTTAAAGCCATTAGATGGTTTTAGTGAACAATCACATATGATAATGATTATTAGTTCCATTTGACACTTACTGTCCGTCAACTGTCTTTGGTGAGTAAGAAAATGATACTGCATTGATAGGACCAGCATTGAAGTGCTTATACCTGTTGAGGTGAATAAAATTATGTCCAATAATGAATTGATCAAGATAACAACAACATTGATGATCATGCCTGACAATACTTATTGTGATGATCACTATCAAAGGATAATGATGATAATTATAAAAATTATGATACAAATATCAAATTGTAGTAACTATAAATAACTACATGTAATTGAGCAATTATGCCTTGAAGCAGTCATATGGTTAAGTGCTAATTGACTGAGTTGGGTCTGAATGTACAGGAAGATATTCGGCCCTAAGCCATAGCAAATTAAAAAAAAAACATCTGTGCAAGTTACATTTTTGAGAGCATGAGAGTATGCTAAATTAATGTAAGAAGTAAATTTTCAGTAGTACAGTGAATCAGTAGTATTGTTATAAGTTAACATTTTTATTGTAAGCATTGGAATTTACTGCAGTGTAATTTACATAATAAATTTGAATGAAATTAAAAAGAATGATTTTAATACCAATTAGTGAGCCTGAGCTGTTGATCAAGAAATCTCACATGACCTGCCACATCTCCTGTCACAATGAACCTAAAAAATGAATTTAATTTTTAATTTATGTTCACTAAAAACAGAGATGTTCATAATAAGATGTTAGCTGTCCAAGAACTGTTTACTCCTTTTTGTAAATGAAGGTTCCTGACTAGGTCTAGATTCAAAACTTTGCAGTAGGACATGTGCATCAGAGGACTTCAACTTTTAATGATCTGGGCCCAGTTACATAAAGGGTAGATGACACTATCCAACTGATAAATCACCATCCAGCTGATAACTGATTGCAAAATGTACTGTGCTATTGAATTTTTGAACAACCCAGGCCTGTACCTTTTGATAACACTTAGTTACCTGTTAGTAGTTGTGAGTACTGTAAGAGCTTTCTCTTGCAATTTCACAATCTTGAATGCTTTTCTGTTACATTTTAATTCCCCTCCAGTATGTTCCCAAACCACTATGTTTCCACAACTTGTGGCTGTGAGTGCTCTGGGGGACTGGAGCTGAAAAATGGACTGGCTGTAGAGCCCAACACTCCGGTTGAAATCCTAAAGAGAGTAAATAAATCATTTTTTAATTCAAGTTAAACCCTTTTTTACCTAACATCAGGACGCATATTCCCCATACTATTATTTAGACATTTCCTAATGTGCTAACTATGAGAATTTGTGTAACAATCAAGAGCTTCTCCAGTTGGTGATCATTTCCTTGATTCTTGTCACCTTAATGAATGATTCAGGGGTGATATTGTGAGGAGGAATAAGATACCACACCCTCTGTGGAGTCTATCTCAGTCTGTCGCATGTATAATAGATTAAAAACCAAAAAGATGTAATCAACCCACTACTGTGCTCAGATAGAACATGGGTGCCTGGGGTATTCCAGGGTTAAATTCTGTTGTCTCTATCCAGCCCCCTGGTAGAATACTGCCCTGGTCACTCGAAACTAACTCAGACCCAGTCATCTGCTCATATTCCAGGAAACAAGCAAGAATGATTTGATCCAACAGCAAGTTATCTCCAACAATGCATGTTGACCATAAAAGCTGCTATGTTTTTGGTGGTTCACTTAAATTTCAATTTCACCTAATCAGATTTGTAACTTTGGTTTTTTTCTCTTAAAATAGTAATCAATTTATGGTTAAAGTAATTTTTTTGGTGAAATGATTTGAAACATTGTCTTTGGAAAAAAGCTCTCAAGATACAAACAAAGACCATAAGTATTACCTTGTCTGTGAGGGGTGGAGCAACAAACTCTAAAGCCTTCTCATTCTGAAAATTTAATGATCAAAAGAATGTTTAGTATTTGGCAAAATAATATACCATACAACACAAATCTATTTCATTCAAGAATCTCTTAGGAGAAAATTAAGAGCTCTGGAATCCAAAGGTCGGGTAGAAAAGGCAACATGTAAGTGATTAAAATTTTTGTGTACCTCTCAAGGCATAAAAACAATCTATTTCATTTGATAATCACCAATAGTTAACCCCTGGACAAGTCTAGATGTCACAAGGAGTCATTATAAACATTCACCCTTAAGCAAATCACACTCAGTCTGATATCTGCCATGGAGTGGGCTGCTAAGTTACTTCTTAGAACAACATTTTCTCTGTTGACTTACCCACTGATAAAAAATAACTTGAGACTCACTGTTACTGACAAGTTCACTTGTATCCTCCGGGTTAAATGTGATGTAATTCTGTGAGAATAACAAATGTTTTAACCAAACTGTAAATTTGTCCTAAGAAAAGAAGAAGTACATTTTGTTGCACAACCAAACTAAATAATCTTCAGAAATACAAGTAAGTCAAATGGCTTGAGCAACAAAGAGAAGGTAAAGACAAGCAAAGAAAAGAGGGGGTCCATGACACATTCATTTTGTACCAAAAGCAGGCCACAGACCATATTATCAATTTCTCCCAACTATTCAAAGTTACTTAGTAACATCTTTAATGCTATTGGCAAGCTAACATTTCTACCTGTTTTCCAAAGTCATCACCGAGCACTACAGAACACATCGGCATGTCACCATTAACTGTCCAATCCCACACAGATACAGTCTGATAAACAACCAAATGAATAAAAAAGTTTATTCAGATAAGTCATGATTAAATTGTACTGGATCACTTGATAATTCATTTATTACAGTAAAAACTGATACCCACCCTATTTTTAACTCTAAATACTTTTCCCAAAGTGTATATTTTTAGATTGAAAATATTTCTGTCTCTTGGATCACACAGGATCTCAGATTAGCTGCTGCTACTACTTCCCTTCAACTTTGAAAAATTGGAAAATAACTGAACTCAAATATTTATTTCCCATCAGAAAAGCACATTAAGGGAAATGTTCATAAATTTGCTCTTCTCAATGAAAAAATATTATTAATAGTTTGTTCTGTGAGTGGATGAATGAAAACTACCAAGGATCATGCACAAATATTTGAACTTCAGAGCTCAGAATTTCCCTATTTGCTGCCATACCACTAAACTACAGAGAACTTTTTGGTAATTTAGACCATATACTAGGCACATATGTGGTAAGTATCCTTCATACTACTATGAAGGATTATTATTAACCATTAATACAGCTGTTATATACTTCGTTACATATACAGTTCTTGGATAAAGAAAACAATGGCAACAATAGTAGACTGCCTTTGATGCTAAGACTTTGTTTTACAATAGTTGAGGAGGGCTGTGCAGAAATTTTACCAAAGTTGCACTTGGTTATCCATTTTGGACAAGTAGGTTTACTTATTACCTGTGGTAGGGTACTGCTTATTGTGGCAATATATTTAGCATCTGGAGACATGGCAATGGCTGCACAGCCATTGGGATGAGCTTCAAATATTGTCTGTACTGGAATACTACAACACAAGAAATACACATCGAACCATACCCCCCACTTGATTGTGATGAGCTACAAAATATCGATACTTAGAGTAATAGAATTACAGTTATGTTTACAAATCTCTTGTACATGCAGGGTTGTATTTGATTGCTAACTAAGGCTTTTTCCTGTAATTATGGGGGACTTTTGGGATGGATAATAAAAATGAAAACAGAATGTCATGATTGTATGTTTTTTTTAATTTTGATGATGGGCAGAATTGATATCATTAAATGGAACTTGGTAAGCAAAAGCACAATAAGAAAATGTAGCTATGTGCATGTTTTGTCCATCTAAAAATAATGAAAAACATGAAAAAATAGAAAATAAAGGAAATAAAAAAATGTCTTGTATATCTGCATTCCCTGCACATTTATGCCACTTTCATACTTTTTATCAAATTTATGCTACATGTAACAGATACTTTCTTACGTTGTGAATGAGTCCCAGATAATAACCATACTGTCTTTACCACAGTCTGCGGTTGCAACCCATCGCCTGTCCTCACTGACACATGTACAGGCAATAGCATTACACTAAAGAAAGAATCACAGTAACAAGCGTGTTAATTTACCGTAAATGCTAGAAAAATTCCTAAGGGGAGGAGGGGAGGGAGTAACGAGGTGTTAGCATAACTGCACAAGTTGATCTGTGGGAAAAATCTCCTATAACGACTAAACATTTTCTCAAAGGAAGTATTGAAAAATTTTAGGACTACATCTTACATGGCCTTGTAGAAGTTGTTGTTTGTTTGCTTCCCAGTCAAACATCATTCCAACATGAGAACAAACATAGAACGCCACCTGAAAAAAAGGAAAAGATGTGTTCGGTCTGTGCATCAAGATGAGTTGGTGTTGTAGGTAGGACAGACAGACGTTGGTTCATTTCGTGTCATGGTACGTAAGTTAAGTTTACGTTATAGATTTGTCGCAGAGTTTGAAATTTCGCTGTAAATTTAAGATAAAAATCAACCAAAACCAACTAAAACACAATTTTGTCATTTGTACCTTTCGACTTCCATTCGATAAATTCTGAACTGGGACATGCCTGTTTACACCAAACGACCAACACATATTCTACGAGAGAGAATAAAATACTTATTCAGCAACATGATTATGAATTAAGTGCGTTTTGTATAGATGAAATACACATAGATCGTAGCAAAACTCACCAAAGATGTCGGAGTGGCTTTCACCTCCTCCACGACTACATCTCCTTCGCCATCTACATGCGACGAAGTTGCGCTTGCTACACGCGATTGAGCCCCAGACCTTTGTTCTAAATCTTCTTCCATTATTCACTTTTCTGCGCAGAAAATATTTGCTTTGAGAAGACCAGAAAGTCAGGTAAACATGAAATATATAGCTGATAGTTCACTCTACTGAAGTTCCCGCTTCTTGTTATTGCAATCTGTAAGTTACTATGGTGAATTTGAGCCCCAAATCCAAACCGCTGACTAACAATAGAAAGTACTTGTAATAAGGAAAGTGTGCGATGCAGGTTTGGACAGAAAAAGGTTGCTTGCTGAAAGAATATGCAGAGAAAAAGAAATTCGGGAGTCAGATTGGTATCCAAAACTCGACAGCTGTTTGTCTAGACGTTAAACCCGCACCTAATTACAGTTTCACCGGTGAGTCAACGATTAGGGTCATGAGAATAAAGGGAATGATCACCAACTACAGAAGCTCTTGATTGTTTAGAAAGTTCTTTACCAAAGGGAAATGTATTGTGAACAGTATGGAAAACGTGAACATTAATATTTGGGTGTAAAGGGTAGATGAATACCAAGAAAAAATTGTCAATTAACGATTTAGTGCACGGTATTATAATTAATAAGTGCGTAATTATAAAGGGTGTAGTTTATTCTATTTTTTTCCCTATTGATAAGAAATGCCTGACCCGACGATTGTAACCCGGTCTAAAACAAAGTAGAAAGTCAGATTGAAGTAGAATCGTAATGAGGTCGATGACTGACAAAAAACACTAGTGTAATAGTTAGGAAACAATTCTAGAAGAGCATGGCTATTCGTAAATCTCTTTCCCGTAAGAAAACAGGAATAAAACGCATTACAGAATTCTTGAACCGTTACTGGTTCTAAAAGAAAATTGTCTCCATCTTAGCTAGTGTCCATTGGGAAATATTGTGGAGAGAACCCGACGTTCACTTCTCCTCTCTCAGCAAGATCCCTTAGAAATTCCCCGCAAGAAGCCCCCGCCTCCCTCGAGATTCCTGAAAAGTTTTGCATGATCCTGACGCTGTGAGCTGATTTGAAAATTGAACACCGTGAGGAAGTCAAGTCGCATGCCAAATAGGAGCAGCGTCGCAGAGAGACCAACCATAAAACGAAAAATTTGTGTAGTACTGTGTCAATTGATGTTAAAAACGATCCTCTTGGATGAGAATAATTGATCGCCAATCTCTTAATCGTAGGCACGTTACTAATCCTTGACCATTACTAGTGAACCACAGACAAAAACCACTACAAAGTTCAAAGTTACGTATTTCCAAATAAATCAAATAGTACCAGCAATGAAACATAAAACGGTATTCACATCTCTTTAATAAGATCTTACAGATAATTCAAGGTCGATATTAGAGAATTTCAAATAAACACTACCTGTCTTTCAACCTCTAGAAAAACAAACAAAATATTTTCTGGAGGTAGAAAGAGGCGGATATGTTAAAGAAATCAGCCCAAGAAATTCTTGATCAATGTAATTAATGAAACTGTTTTATTGTCGTCACATTAAAAGGATCCCCTGCAGTGCCTTGGACCCAAGCTACTTTGTTCTTTCTGTCTCATGTTTGTGGAAAAAGTCCCTGAGAGCAAGACAATTAGACAATACCAGTGAGGGCTTAATTGCCAGAGGTTGTTATTTATGTAAGCAAAAGCCAACATTACTCAAAAAAAAAAACAAACAAAAAAAAATTAAATGATGTGAAAGGAAGCAAGCTGAGGCTGACCTGTTCAAAATGAACTTGGGCTGTTACCAAACAAAATAACCCTTGGAAAAAAGTACAAACCACTGCACTAACGGTGAACACACCTAACAAGATTCAGGGCTCTGTTGAGAGATCTTTCGAGTTTCATTTCTGTAAATTTTACACCTAACCCAGAATGATATCAATAATACATAAAATACCTTTTTTTCATTTGAAGCTCAGGGCTTGCCTTATTTCCTACAGTACCCCTAGAGATAATACAAAAAGCCCCAAAACAGATACAACAGGCAACAGTTCTTGAGCAGATTCCTCTGGTCTTTTGTACCAACCTTGAAAATATGCTAGAATAGTTACTGTGGGCTAGTTTTTGGAAGCTTTCCTTCTGCCCCATAATGTCCATATTGATTAAATTCTGCTATGATGTACAACACACAAGAGATTTTTATCATAGAGGCAACAAAACTTACATTTTACTAACAGAGTGACATCACGGCTGGTTAAGAACCATCATAAATACCACAAAACTAAATCAGGACTATCATCAAACACCAACTTCTGCCCAAAGACGCTGCAACGAACTGAATTCTCCACAACCAGCAATGAATTCACAGAAGCAATTTTTTTAAAACTTCTCCAAATACAAAATATAATATTGATAAGTTTCTTTCTGTATACGAGACTTGTTCTTCTGTGAGATCAAGCCCAGTACAGTTTTCTAATCTCTTTTGAGAAACACTAATTGAGAATCAGAGCACTTCTCTTGGGTGGTTTGAGTCTCTTGCTCCACATACACTAGTCCTGCAAGTTTTCTTGAATTAAAATATCAATTTTCCACTTGGGTACTAATTAGAGATAAGTTTATGAGCTTGCTTTCCATCCACAACTGTCAACGACATTCCCACACTTTGATTGTCATGTCAACACTTCCAGTTATTACAAACGGAGTTGACCTGTGGAAATCTTAAACACATATAAAAAGAGAAAATTACATTATGAAGATTGACAGTTATTTTTCAAAATTTTATGCCACAAGCTGATGAAGAAAAGGACTGGCTACTCGACTCTTTTGCTCTTAAGATCACAATAGTAATTCTTCTCTCAGTCTGCCATACAATGCTTATGATGGTAGTTCAGAGAATTTGGTCTTGGATCAACTAACAATTCCTGATTGACATTTTTTGTTATTCTCATCACTTACTTTCTTGATATTTAATAGTTATTGCAAGGAGAAATTCTGTCTTGATCACTTTTAAGAGTTAAGAGTTAAGTGAACAATGTTCAAGACAAGTTCTTTAGTGGCCTAACAAGGGGGAAAGAGCAAAAGAAAACAGCATTGCCAAATGGTGATAACATATTGAGAAACTTACCTAAAGTTGTTGCAAAATGTTCATGAGCCATTAACGTTTTTGCACATCTTTTATTTTTGTAGTCCCATATTCTAAGAGTTTTGTCATCTGAACAGCTAACTATATATTTGCCTCCAGGATGAAACAGAACACCTCTCACCCAATTATCATGGCCAACCTATCAGAGCAAATGTGTAAAATTATTTGTCAGATTTATATGAACACCTACTAAGCTATTCTGTGGTCTACAATACAGTTCATCAATCATAAATAAATTTTCTACCACAAGAGGCTGATTTTACAAAGTCAGACTGAGAGTTGTAATCAGAGTTGAGAAAGTACTTTCAACCTAATCAAAATAAAAATGGACGAAGAAAAATCATGTTTGTGACAACCAATGTTCATAAGATCATAAACTTAAGAGCCATTAGCACAATTAGTGTCATATTTGTCAGTGCCTCTAATGTTTTGCTCTGACTCCATTTTTAATGTAAATCAGCCTTTGATCAAACCAAAATACTAGGCCAAAGAAACTGTTGCATAGTTAACTAACCAAAGTCATTAGACACATTCCAGTACCACAATCCCACAGTCTGATTGTCTTATCTCGAGATGCTGACACTAAATATGGACCTGCAGCTCCTCCTCGTTTTCCACCCTACATCAGAGTAAGCCAAGATAATAACAGAAGCCATCACCATGACAAATACTTAAGCTCAAAAAATGTAAAAGTATGAAAGTATCTTGCCATTACACTAGGTGATAATATTTTGGCCTCTTAAAGATTTTCTAATGACTGTGATAGCGACAGAATTTTTCTACACTCCACAAAAGAAAGAGATTGAAACAGATTCACCTTTCCATTAATAAGAACAATATTATTTTGCTTTTTCATTTAAATGATCACAGATACTGAGCACATAAGGACTGGAGACAAATTTGATCCTTCCTCCACAGCTATTTAGAAATATCTAATGTACCTCCAATCCTGCAGCTTCTGCAATATGTGGGTGGGCTGATTCTGGAGCCCATGCAACATCCTCCACTACATGTTCATGGTCCCGCAGATCACATTTACATTCCTTAGAGGCCACAATCCACACACGGATTGTCTGTAGAGCAAACACTTCCTTTCATGAGATTTTGTTTCAATTGACTGCATTTAAATCTCAGACAGCAGATAAAAGTATCTACATGTAAGGCTGCTCTAAATGAAACATTCAATAATCTAATCTACTTGCCTACCTGGTCATTTGAACAACTTGCTATCAACACACCTGCAGAACAATAAAAACAAGCTACTCATTGTATTTTAATTACAACACTGGAAATTAAACTAAATAGATAGAGTCCTCTGACACATCTCTTAGTTTTCCTGAATTCTCCTCCCACCCCACCCCCCCGACACCTTTTAAAACATTTTTTCTTGATTTAACTGGTACCACCAAAAGAACTTTGAAAGGTTTTAAACCAGAAAGTTTTAAAACATCTCCGACAAAATCAAACTGTCCATTAAAATGATAAGGTTTGAATTTTTTAACATTAGTCTACTCTTATTTTCCATTGTTTCCAGTTACTTTTGTATATTTGACAAAAAAACATAACCAGTTTGAAAGATATTAAATAACAACAAAATTTTGGCCATGGCAATTACATGTACCCATTGTGTATACAGAAGACATCGGAATGATTACACAACTTACCATCTGGGCTAACACGAACTTTTCTGACCCACTCTCTGTGCCCTTGAAATGTCTTCACACAATACCTGTAATACAAGAAACAAGAGATCAGGTCATCTCATGTTGCTTTGCTTTGGATTAAATGCCTGAAACCCCAATTAGGAACTTGATTACCCTCTACCATCTCTAAAAGAATTTGATATCTCCAACCCTGTACATCACGTACGTAATTACCAATTTCATGTAGGTGATATGTTCCACTGGCTATTTGGGGAAAAAAAGGTTTCATATGCTTTTCTTTTTTCTTTTTTCTTTTTTCCTTTTACCTGGTAAAAAGTCATCTGAACTTTGGCAAGCAGTTACTTTTGATGCATTTGCCTTTATCTACCTTTTCCCACCCAATTTTAAAATACTTTGAGTGTCTG